TCTGGGAGGACAGCTGACTATTCTCTTCCCACGTTATTTGCATGACCTTCAACAGTAAGATCATTTAGTTGGGTGGAGGATTTGGGAAAATTATAGTTGAGATTTTAATGGGCTTTGCAGACACTAAGCCACTTTCAGAAACAGTACCTGATAATTTTTGTAGCAGCTTTTGAGAGAAAGGTACTATTTTGATCCCTGTTCCAAATTTGAAATGAGAAACCTTGGCTCAAAGGGATTAAGTGCTCAAGATCACCTAGCAATGAAGAGCCAGGGTCTGGACTCTGCGCAGGTCGCCTCATGTCAAGGCCAGTGCTCTTCTTCTTAATCCACAGATGCCTTTTTGGAACAAACCACTCCTCCTCTTCAGGGTTACCAGATGGCGTGCTCCTCACTGGAGCAGAGATCAAGCAGCAGCACAGGCAGAGATAGCAAACTGAGTATGGGGTAGCTGTAGTAGTAATGGCACATCCCCCCACACATATCCTCACATACATCAGTCATCTGTACCCTCAGTAGCCTCCTATAATCCAAACACTGTAGGAACAGGGAGCAAGAATACCAAGCTCATTGGCTTCAAAAGGAATTATCCAGACATAAGACAGAAAACATGTGCATGAAGCTGTGAGCAGGCAGCACCCATTTTTTCCTGCCTCGCCTACATCCACATCCTCCTCCACTGCTGAGCCAACAGATGAAGCCGTCCAAGCTGCGTAGAGAGGCGTGCTGACGACGAAACAAGAGAGTTCGATGCTGCGTATCCTTCCAAACTGGCCCCTCCCCATGGTCACATCACAGATATGGGTGTGTCCGGTAGGAGCACCCAAAGGAACCCTTTTAAATCAGGGGATCTGAGATTGAAGAGGACCCGTGTCTTGCTACTTGCACGAAGTCCAGAGAGACCGCAAGCATGACCCATTGTTAAGTACTAACAGTGGGGTAGAAATGACGGCATCACATAATGGAGCCAGAGGACACCCTGAGTTTCCTGTGTCCCAGAAGGGGTGCAGATGGCCATCTGAAAATACCCAAGGCCCCTGAGTCAGAAATCTGGGAGAAGCAAGCCCATGGGGCCCTGGGACCAGCCAAGGAAACACACCAGAAGCGTGCAGCCCACGAGCAGGACCGCTGATGTTCTGGGAGGAAGTTGCTGCATCCCGAGGACTGCTGGTGTAGGGGACAGTTTCTTGGATGGAAACAGGACTAGGGGCATCTGAAGCAGAAAGTCATCAGGGCACTGAGGCAAACCAAGGCTGAGGAGCAGGTGATCAGCCCCCACCCCCAGCCCAGCCCACAGCACCAACCTGGCCAGTATGAGTGATGGCACCAGACTGGTTGGACAGCCCTGTCCCTACTGGAACAAAGACCAGGGAGAAGGAGAAAGAGGGAGAAGGAAGTATTGACTGTGACTAGGTTACAACCTATAATGGCGAAGAAATCACTGAATTTAACTGGGTTTACCCAAAAATAATTACACAACCTTTTCTGTATCAGTTTGAATGAGGACTCAAGATAGAAAGTTAGGCTAAAAACAGGAAAAATAAAGACAGGTACTCTTTTGTCCACCTGAGTTTGTTGTCATTTATGGTAATCAAATGTCAATATTATGCTAAGTACTTTATACATATCATCCCATTTAATCACAACAACCTTGTAATATATGTATTACTACCCCACTATATAAGACCAGAGAGATTATGTTACTACCCAAGGCCACCCTGATATTCATCAGTAAAGCCAGGATTTGTATGTCTCTAAAACATACATCTTGGGATTGAAGAGAAGAATTTATCCAGGATAACATTTGTACCTTTGAATTACAAACCATGTGACTATCTTGTTCCTGTGTAACAATAAATGTAATTAAAATAATAAAACGAAGGCTCGTGTTTTTTACAACACTTTATCCCAAACTCCATTTCCTCCCGCACAGAAGTGCACTGATATTCATAAACCATTGAATTTCTTTCCCATCACTTCTTTACAAGTGTCCATAAAGAACCAGACTGTAGGTGGCAACAGAGCTGTCTTTCCCTTTAATAGGATGAGGAGGCAGCGTAGGCTGAGATGGCCTCCTGCCCTGGTAAGCAAGCAGGAATGTTAAACTTTCAAGGTGCAGGCCCCTTTTAAGATCTGAGAGATGTGTTGTTTTTCTGTGCTCACTACAAATGTTTGCTCATTAGCCTATGTGACTCCAGACGTTGGACAGGGTAGGGACATGGGAGAGGAATGCTGGGAGACCCCTTTACTGGGGAAAGGGTGGGCAGTGCAGGAAGAAGGATATCCTTTGCTCTTACATCTCTGCTGTCCCCTAAACACATGGCCAGCCAGCACCACTGGTTTCCAGATTGCTTGTGGCCTTGTAGGAAGAAAGGATTGTTCATCTGAACAAGGGTCAGGAAACAAAATCATTGTCTTCGTTGAATGAAGCCTCGGGGGTCAGATCTTCAGGGAATCCTGGATCTCATTTTTTAATCCCCACCCCCAGCATCTCACCCACAGTCTCAGATTGTCCAAGAGCTTACACAGTTGCAAGGTTTATAATTATCTTCTAGACGCAGTGGTTCTCAACCTTCTGGCCCTTTAAATACAGCTCCTCATGTTGTGACCCAACCATAAAATTATTTTTGTTGCTACTTCATAATTGTAATGTTGCTACTGTTATGAATCGTAATGTAAATATCTGATATGCAGGATGGTCTTAGGTGACCCCTGTGAAAGGATCGTTCGACCGCCAAAGGGGTCGCGACCCACAGGTTGAGAACCTCTGTTCTAGAGAGAGATCTGAGCACCCCCCACAATCACCATTGGCCTTCATGAAATGACAACTACTCTTTTTAAAAAATACACATATTTGTATTGATTTCAGAGAGAAGGAGAGAGAGATAGAAACATCAATGATGAGAGGAAGTCATTGATTGGATGCCTTCTGCACGCCCCACACTGGGGATCAAGCCCACAACCTGGGCATATGCCCTGACCAGGAATCGTACTGTGACCTTCTGGTTCATAGGTCAATGCTCAACCCGAGCCACACCGGCTGGGCATGACAACTACTCTTAACTTCTGATGTTGTGATGGCCTTACCCAGATGACTATAGTTCTCCATGCAAAAATTAAAACTCACATTTTGAGCTCACATTTCCTCGTCCAGCCATCATTCTCCAAAGCACAAACACTGGTGCCTGGGTGCTTGTGCCTGGAGGAACTCCCGGCATAAACCTTGCCACACTGTGCCCAAACCTAGGCCCCTCACTCTGATAGATCACATCGTTGATCATAATATCTTCTCTCGGATCAGCCAACTCTTAGGTAACTAACAGATTCCTCAGAGTCTGCCTTTACAGAGCCCTGGAAGATGCTCTGACTGCAAAAAAAGTCTCTGGCATACACCATATTATATCAACGTAAGTCAGAGTGACACATGTAATTGTAGGGTAATGATTTTTTGAACTAGTTTTACATTCAAGGAAACTGAAGCAATAAAAGATTAGGTATCTCCCCAAATTCAAACACCCGAGGAAAGACAGAGCCAGGATTAGAACTCAAATTTCCTCGTTCTCTATTCAGATTTTTAGACACTTAAACATTGCTGGGGTGTATGAGGGATATATATATATCCCTCTCCCCTGACCATGTTCTGTACAAATTAACAAAACAAAGCACTGGCAACTGGAGACAAAAATATCCTTTGTTTCTAACAGAGGCTAGGTGGGAGGATGTGGCTGGCTGTTGGCCAAGTAGACCTACCAACGCTAGACCCCAATGAGGAACAAGATGCCTCCAGAAAAGGCCAGGAGTTGCACTAAATGAGCTCCCTTTAACAAATGGAAACATCATAAGTAGGGCAAAAATGTTCCTGCAATACACCAGATATAATTAGTATCAATCAAAGTTAGGTTTAATTAAAAGCTCATATCTCACCCAGCCCACTTTGATAAAGCCAGATAGGTATGTCTTCTATCTCTATGTTAACAATCATAATAGTAATTTTTTAAGCCTTAAACAAACTCTAAGATACTGTGAGGTGGAGTGAGGTAGAGTGGATATTGAACCATTCTACAATCACACCACCCCCAACCAACCTTCCTCCAGATTAAATCGGCCTGGCTAACCCCAACGCAAGGGAGATCTCTGTGCCTTTCATCAATTCATTAGTTAATAGTAGTCTGTCTTAATTCAAATAAAGTTGTCATTTCCCATCCTATTCCCGTCTTCAGATGTAGTCATATTCTTTCAGGCCAAAAACTGGTTCACCTTCTCCTAGAAAAACCATCTATTAGAAGGATCTGGATTTCAAATAGGTTGCCATCTTAGCATAGTGCCAACAAATTGCCTATTCCAGCTGCTTACTGGCTCCTTGTGGCCCATGCAAAATATACAATGGATGTTTAAAGAATGAGAATTGAAAGATGGATTCCCCACACCATGGCAGCAAAGATTACCGATTGCCAAAGCCTTTTATAAAGTAGGTGGAGAGCACAAATGGTTCTCATCATGTCCTGTCTCCACCATCTTGATTCATCTACATCGAAAAAGGAGGAGGGTATAGTGTGGAAATGTGTGTGTGTGTGTGTGTGTGTGTGTGTGTGTGTGTGTTTCAAATTGCATTTTTTTGGCTACATCTCCAGTGAGATGATTAAAGAACTTTAGCTCTTTGCAACTGGCTCAGCCATAAGTTTGACTATGCTTTGCTTTCCCAATATGGTTCTCATTTGCTTTCAGCCTCATTCATTTCTTATTATTTTTGTCTCTCAGAGAAAAAGGCAGCAAGAAAAATCAACCTTGGGCTTCGTTAATTAAGGCCTGCATTCTTGCTGGTATATTTCAGGAAGACAATCGGTTCCTTTTGCCCACTCTCTGGAGAACCTTATCATGTGGTTCCATTCATTCATCAGGGCTCTGGCTTTGGGGCCTGTCGCCTTGCGGTGGTCCTTACATTCATTTCCATATGGCACTGTGGACACTGTATCCGCTTATAAAGCTAATTTTTCTCTCTGCAGAGCTCTCCAGCAAGCAACCACTAGGATAATCTCATAAATCGTTATTGGGAAGAAGACAGAAGCTGTGATTTTCATAATTAAGAAAAAGAAAAAAAGGTAAGCATAGGCTCTCTCAGTCTCCTCACCCCCCACCCAAATACCAAGCATTCTAGTTCTGATTCCTTGTTTATTTGGTATGTGGGGTCCTGACCCACCTTAAGCTTAGTCTTGTTTTTTCTTTGATAAACAAAAATAAAGGCAGGGAACTGTGGGTTCATTCTCCAGAAGGTAGAACCAGAGACAGTCGGGAAGAAAAGCCAGATGTATGCCTTCTCAAGTCTCCTTCCCTCTTCACCTTTATGCCTTCTGGGAAGAAAATGGACGTGCTTCAGTCACGTTAGCTAAGCATCTTTTGTCGTTTCTACCAAAATAAACCTTGCAGACTGGCTCCCAGGGGCAATAATGCATCCTTAAGGAAAAGTTCTCCATCATTTATTCAGCAGACACTATTCTGCTCCAGGCAGTGGTATGGGTGCCGTAGGGATTCAGAGATGTGCTCACGGTGCATCTATAAGGAATATGTAGATGACAGAACAGCACAGATGTGCAACAGAAAAAGGGGAAGCAGAAAGGGTGAGGGGGGAAGATTAAACACACCCCTTTATGATGCTGATCTCACTGTCCTTAGTTTAGTTGACTTTGCTCATATCAACACAATTCTAAGCCACTTCTCCAGCACTATAGCCAGATGAAGCATGGTTAGTGTGAACAGCCAAGTGGAAGGAAAAGCCGGGGGAAGTAGAGGAGGAAGTAGAAACAATGATTACAGACATCTCTTTTGGAAAAATCTTTGTAAACAAAGTTAAGGGCGACTTTCAGTGTTTAAAAGGTTAAACTCTCACTGATCTGGTCACTTTGACGGTAGAATTATTGCCTCCCTCAGGCCTAGAGGCTTTTCGTTTTCTAGAACAATAGCTAATGTTCATTGTTTTTCAACTTAGTGCTGGCCACTCATAGCTCATACCCACATTTTTTCATTTATTTAATCTTTACAATCTGTTAAGGTAACTGCTCTTATTATAGCCATTCTGCAGATGAGGAAACCAAAGTACAGAGGGGTCCAGTAACCTGACCAAGACCGTCCATCCAGGAAGAGAGAGAGGGAGAATTGAAATGCAGCCAGCCTGGCTCTAGAGCCCAAGCTCTCACCTGCATGTTTGTGAGTCTTGGTTCTTTGGCAGCACCAGCATTCAAAACTATGGGGCTCTTTCCGTCAGTGTCCGAGTTGGGCATAAACACAGGGCTGTGTGGAAGAGTGGACAGCTGAAAAAAATCAGGGCTCTACTAGCAAGGAAGAAATTGGAGAGGGGGTGAAGGATGAACTTGTGTGCAGCCCACCATGTCTGATAAAATAACGTGATAGTAATGCTTATTGAATTGCAACTTAGGCTGAATGGCTTCATCAGTTCTAGGAACAGCGGTGAGGGAACAGAACCCCGCTTAGAGAAGCGTTGATGCGAAGAGAGAAGCAAACATTTAGGAAAGGTTGGGAGCTTGAGGCACCATCCTGCTAAGGACCCAATGCAGTGTGACATCCAACCAGGGAAGAACAGGCACCACCAGTGAAGACCTTTCATATACCAGATGCTGTATGAGATTATCTGCACACTTTATCCTCTTTAATCCTCATAAAAGTCCCTCTGAGATACAAACAATTATTCTTCTATTGAAGATGCCAAAGTCAAGACTCAAAGAAGCTGGGTAACTTGCCAAGGCTAGGAAGTAGCAGGGAGAGGATTCTGTTGGCTGTTGACAATGGCTGTAACCTTCCCACATGGTCCAAGTCTCTATGGAATTTATAGGAGAGCCTCAGCCCCCGACACTTGGTTATGACCTGAGGCTTGGAGCCCCACATCTGTGAAGTCTCTTGGTGAAGCAGACCATTTGTGAGCACCAAGTGCTCGTTTGTGCTTCTGGCCTAAGGCTCCGTGAGAGCAGCAGGCCAGGTAGGCCCTGTTCCGCTGGGCCAGTGCTGCTCAGAGGTTTCTACTGAGGTTCTGTCCAATGGCAGAGGAGGAGGAACCTCAAGCTAGGATTGTAATATCAAGAGACCTGGGAAGTCAACTGATCTTTGTCAGTGCAGAGCCTGCTTTAGTGAGTCAGCGAGGCTGGGAATTCCTAGGAAGCCCTACTCCACTTCACTGCTGCCTGCAGCCAAGACTTCAGGGGGCAAAATGTGAGAGAAGGCTCCACAACCAGACACAGACTCAGAGGAGGGGAAAACACGGACCAGAAGCAACGCTAGGAAGAAGGAAAGATTTTACAAACAGGTTAAGAGAACAAGCCATAAGACATGGTGCAAGAGGTCACCTGGGACAAACAGACTTACTGGAGCAAGGTGTTGTGGACCAGGGGCTGGGAGAAAGGAGAAAGTAGACATGGAAACAAGGCCGGCCCGTCACGAAGTAGGGACCAGAGGTGCCAGTGCAGACTGGAGGCGAGTTGCTTGTGTGTCTCAGCTTTCTGAGACTGGGGTTCCGGTGGCCACCGGCTTGCTCGGCTCTGCACATGAGCCCTCGGGTCTGACCACCTGGCACCCAGCCTCACTACCTACCTAGCAGGCCCCAAGACAGGCAGATGGCATCCCGGAAAATAAAAAACAACTGCTCAAAACTCAGAGATGGAAATGCCTACCCATTAATTTTTGTTACAGTGAAAATGGGCTTTTCAAAGTGTGTGACAACCTGTATCCATGAGCCCTCCAGAAGTTATAGTTGGAAAATAAGGAAGCAAGGAGCTATCCAGCCTAGAGAGCAAGAGAGCTTGATAAATGTATCCTTTCTCTCCTGTACCAGATACAGAGAACTTCGGGAGTGGGGGAGAGAGAACACCGCACCCCACCTGGGTGTTTCCCCGGTGGGTACAGGCAGAGCAGCAGCAGACCCGGCCGTGAATCCACCTGTCCTCCAAGCCACCTTAACCCTCAGGGCCGCCACATTTCGTCCAGTTCCCTGGCCATCCAGGATCACCCCGGGACTGCTACCTGACGGGGATGCATGAAGCTAGAAATCTCTTCCTGAAAACATGATGTACTTAAGGTTGAGGACAGTTTTCCAGGAGTTAGAAGGAATCAGAGGTTCACTGTTTCCCGTGGCTGAGCTCCAGGCCCTGGCTTTGGTGCAGGTGCTCTCAAGACCGAGTGAAGGCAGTGATGACATGTTGAATGAAAGGTAGACATTTATACTCCGTCTCCAGCAGATTAGTCTGTGCGTGGGAGGGTGGGTGCGTGGGTGGGTCAGCAAGTTCCCCAGCGCAGGAGCTGGGACCCCTCTCATGGTAATGATCTGGATCTCACTGGATGCCCTGTTGTTGTTCTGAAAACAGACAGGTAGGGAACCAAGCGATCAGGAGGCGGTCAGCAGCCAGAAGGACTGCAGTGTGCTTGAAGCCGGAGCAGCTGTCCTTGTGCTGTTTTCAGAAAATCCCAGAGCAGCACAGCAGAGCACAGCCATCCAGTCTCCTGGGCTGCTGCTGGCACCTAGTGGAAAGAGGGCGAAGCGGCTGGCGTGCAAATACTTTGTTCTCACAACAAGAGGATCCCACCCGGAGCTCAGAGCTCGCACTGGACTGCAGGGTTCGAATTCCACCCCCTGCTCTAGCGAGAGTGGTTGCAGCAAAAACAGAAGCCATTGGGACGGAGAGATGCGGCTCCTATTCACCCCTAGGCACCCACAGCACTGTTAAGTGTGTTGTTAAGTGTGTTCTTAAGTGTGTTAAGAACACCGTCAGACCCAGCGCCCTCTCTTTATCATTTTTATCAAGTGTCCCCTTTATCCTCCTAACAGAAAATCCATAGATAATACAACCTATCAATGACCATTAGTGTAAAAATCAATATAATGTCCTAGCTGTAATATAAAGGTGAAAACATTGTAGTGTATGATTTTTTAAAATGTGTTCTTATATGTATGTATTCACACATGAACAGGCTAGAGCAGATAACTGGTCACAGCTTGCACTCACATAAACTAAGTGTAAATTTAAGAGAATAAGAATATCAGAAGCCACTCTATTCAAGAAGAGCAGGAAAATAAAGGAGCAGAAACACCGGTGGACACTAGAATAAAACCTTGTATTCAGATTAAAAAAATAACAGAACAACCTGATCGTTTGGATGTGATAAGGCAGTGGTCGGCAAACTGGGGCTCGCGAGCCACATGCGGCTCTTTGGCCCCTTGAGTGTGGCTCTTCCACAAAATACCGACTTCTGCGCATGGGCCACGAAGTTTCAATCGCACTGTACATGCACGCCCGCACGTGGTATTTTGTGGAAGAGCCACACTCAAGGGGCCAAAGAGCCACCTGTGGCTCGCGAGCCGCAGTTTGCCGACCAATGTAGGGATCAAAGGAACTAACCTTGATGGAAGAGAAAAAGGGATGTGTTCTACATTTTGTGAATGAAGAATGAAAAAAGGAAAACTGCAGGAGGCCAGACACCGTGAAGATCAAGAATTCAGCAGAAGCGGGAACCCAGGAAGCACCTAAAGGCAGTGCTGGTCTGGTCCTCTGAGGATCATGGGAACGTAGAGGTGGGGACAAGAATTTCCCACTGTACCAAGGCTAGAGCCAGTTTATTTGCTACATGATATTGAAGAGCGGGGTGAATCCGTATGACTGGAGGACCAGGGACACCTGGGAGGCTGAAACTGGGTTACAAATCACAGCCCAGGAGCTGTTGATGTCACTGTGTGAGCTTTAATCAGCAGGACATGCTGCCTAATTCAACAAAGGTTGGCTGTCAGCGGAGTGAATGTGCCACCTGTGGAGAAAACTGCCATGCATCTGACGGTACGTACACTTGAATAATTCAAACAAGTCGCCTGCTTAGTCTTGAGGCCTCATTTACTGAGCACCCACTGTGATAGATGCTTACATATATTACCTAACTCTCATAACTACCTTGTAAGGTGTCCATCTTTTATCTTCACTTCACAGGGATGGAAACGCAGATCTGAAGTAGATAAGTCACACAATCGAGCTCTTGGTTGGATGTGGAAAGCCTCGATTCCATGCAGCTGCGTCTCGTTTGAATCACTCCCACTCCGGCAGGTAGGTGGATAGAAACAGGAATTCTTGTTCCCGCTCTGGTTTTGAGTGACCCGAAGAGAAGTGATGTGACTGGCTAAATTCTGTGCAGCCGGCATGCAGTGTCGTTATCTTGCCTACAAAGTCCGCATCTTCTACAGCATTTACATCACAGCTTATGATACCTACTTCATATCTTGTTGTAGGGATCTCAGAAATCAGCTGCAATCTTAAACAAATGAAGTTAAGCTCTCCTGGGAGGATCAGCATGGTAATTCATCAACTGTTTCATAATGGAGAACAGAGACTTAAATGTCACTTGGGAAATTTAATTAAGATCTGTGCTCAGTGTGGGAACAATTAGCTAATAGACTGCAAATAAATTCCCTGATTACTCAGGGATGGGATAGTGACTTGTTACATAGCCACTCGTGGATGTGGGGGTGATCTGGCTTGAACACCTCTCATCCAATTGGTTGGTGGGTTTGGTCCTGCATGGTGTGTTGAGCTGTACCTTCCTCCCTCATTGCCCCTTGAGCATCTTCCTGATTTTCCATGCCAGATCTAAGGTGCCGAGGCGTGGAAACACTTTTCCTATCACGGCATTCAAGTAGAAAGCATCTCCTGGGGACAGAACCCTCAGGAATCTATTTGTAAGAACCAATATTATGGTTCTTAGAACTGTCCTAAGTAGTGACCATCAGCTAGAGAATGAAACTTAAGTGAAATAACTGAAACTTTCAGACTCTGGGGGTGGGAATTTAAAATGGTTCAACCACGCCCTGGCCAGGTGGCTCCATTTGTTAGAGCATCATCCCCATATGCCAAGGTTGTGGGTTCAATCCCCAGTCAGGGTACATACAAGAGTCAACCCATGAATGCATAAATAAGTGGAACAACAAATTTGTATATATATATATATATATATATATATATATATATACACACACACACACACATATACATTTGTGTATATACATATACATATTTGTATATATATATATATACAAATACATATATATATTCATTCTCTCCATCTCTTTCCCTCCCCCCTCGTTCTTTCTTCCTGTCATTTTTCTAAAAATCTAACTTTTTAAAATAAGTAAATAAATAAACTAAATGGTACAACCATTTTGGAGAGCTTTTTCTCCAGTGCTACTTTGGAGAAGTTTTTCTTCTCTGCCATGGACACGGACAATAGTGTGCAGGGGAGGAGGGAAGATGGAAGAGGATATTGGGGGGATAAATGATCAGTGATGGAGGAAAAAACAGAACACCAACTCTGTTGCAAAGCTATTTTCCTCCTGGGCAGCTCCCAAGGAAAATGAAAACATGTTCACAGGAAAAATGTTCTTAGCAGTTCTATTCATAATCACTCCCCAAACTGGAAACAAGCCTAATAATGCCAACCAAAAGGGGAATGGACAAACAAATATGTGTTATATTAATACAATAATACTAAGCAATAAAAAAGAGTAAAGTACTTCAAGCAAGCAACGATATAGATGAATCTCAAAAGCATTTTGTTGAGTGAAAGAAGATGTGCATACCTAAATAATCACTTGATTGATCCTAATAATGTAAAGTTCCAGAACAAGCAACGCTAATCCTTGGTGATGGCATCAGAATAGTGAGCACAGCTTTGGAGGGGAGGGCACTGACTGGAAGAAAAAACAAGGACATTTTCTTCGGGCATCTCCCGTCCATCCCTGAGACTGTTGCCCCACCCATGGCTCACCCACAACTTTGAGCTCCTGGCCTATAAGGATCTCAGCGGCTGCAGAAAGATGCAAACTCCCCCTTGGTTTGATTTAGCCCCATCCACGGCTGGTTTGGCTTCCAATTTCAACAACCCACAGTTAATATTAACCTGCTCCAAAGGGTCAGGTAGGTTTTTAACCTGATAGGCTTTAGCACACACCTCAAAGTCCAAAGCTCATCCGAATTAGCTCAAGCAAGACAGATGACCTGGCACAGCAGGGACCACGGGGGTCTAGTGTCCTCCATCGTGGAGGGTTGGGTCTTTCCTTTCTGCTTGTGGAACCACATTTGCTCTCTCCAAAGCTGGGCCATGGCTGTTCCAGATTGACCCGTCATTTCTCTTCACCCAAATTAAGCAGGCACATTGTTCAACAGGTACCCCAGGCCCACCTGAACAAGAACAGCATCTCCTTCCAGCCTCATCCTGCAGCACCCACCAAGCCCGCTGGGGCTGCCGGGTGGAGCCCAGTATCAGCTCTGAGGTTGGGCCCATCATGAATCAATTTTAATGCTGCAAGACCCCATCCGCCTGTGCCCACTGTGCCTCATTGAGAACCACTCACTTGGGCTAAAGCAGTGAAGGCTGACATTCAAGTGTGTCGCCGTGGCAGACAGGATCTGTTCCCTAGCTCAGTGCAGGGTCAGGTTCAAAAGGTCCCCAGGATGGGAATTAGTTCAAACTTGAGAATCTAGTACGAGAACTTCCTCGCCAGCACCTTATAAGGATTGACTCATTTACTGCTCATTAACGTTGTTAGGAAACTGAGGCAGAGAAATTGAGGAGCACGTGGGAGTCAGTAAGGGCTGCAGGTTTGAGCTCGGGCGTTAACGTTCCCGTGTCTGTGTTCTTCGAGCCGCTCTGCAGTGTCTCCTGGAAGGGAGGGATGCGGCCCAGGTGTGGACAGTGCCTGTGGAAAGTCTGCATGGGGCACAGCAAACAGCCAGGTGACATGGGAGCTGGCCGGCCTAGAGGCTCACGGTGGAGGGTGGAAATTGCTGGGGGAAAGGGATTTCCCAGTCCCAGATTACGGCCAGTTTGAAAGCATGTCTGAGGTAATACTGTCATCTAGTGGCAAAACAGCAAAAAGCAGTTACCCTCCAAGCAAAGATGGAGTGAGCCTTGAGAAGGCGAGGTGTAACAAATCAGCCCAGAGTTGTTCATTTTTCCTCCAAGTAAAGATTCTAAAACAGGCATATCCCATGCCATGTCCTTGGAGTAGCCTTCCGGTTCCACAGGCCACTGGATGGTGGCCACAGGTTAGGTTCTAATCCCAGCTCTGCTCGTTACTGACAAAAGGCTTGGGCAAGTTCATTAATTTCATTTTCTCTTCTGAAAACTGGGGGAAATAATGTCTACCCACATGGGTGTTGTGAGGATCAAGTGAAATTATGCATGCAATGTGCCAGGCATAGTGTAAGCATTTAAAAAATGCTAGTTGTTGTGGCAATACTGAAGAGGTGTGGCAAGAGCTGGGACCGAAGCATGGAGGGAAGGACCTGGGCACATTAGGCATTAACTAGTGTGACCTTTGGTGAATCCCACAGGGTCGTTCTTGGGGAATAGTTTTTTCACATGCAGTCTTATGTTTGCTTCTCTCAGTCTTCTGCCTACATTACCGAGTCATTTCTCCATTCAAAAATATTAATGGTTCCAAAAGACCCCGAATAGCCAAAGCAATCTCGAGAAAGAAGAACCAAGTTGGAGGTATCTTGCTACCTGATATCAAAGTATGCGACAAGGTGATAATAACAAAACAGCATGGTCCTGGCATAAAAACAGACACATAGATCAATGGAATATAATAGAGAGCCCAGAAATAAATCCAGGCCTATCTGATCAATTTATGACAAAGAAGGCAAGAATATGCAATGGGGTACAGACAGTCTATTCAATAAATGGTCTTGGGAAAACTGGACAGTCACATGCCAAACAATGAAACTAGACCACTTTCTTACACCATATTATACAAGAATAAACTCAAAATGGATTACAGACTAAATGGAAAACCTGAAACCATAAAACTCCTAGAAGAAAACATAGGCAATTAGCAATATTTTTTGGATATGTTTCCCCAAGAGAAACAAAAGAACAAATTGAACTACATCAAACTGAAAAGTTTTTGTACAATACTGGAAACCATCAACAAAACAACAAGACAACCTACTGTCCTGACCGGTTTGGCTCAGTCAATAGAGCGTCAGCCTGCGGACTGAAAGGTCCCAGGTTCGATTCTGGTCAAGGGCATGTACCTTGGTTGCGGGCACATCCCCAGTAAGAGGTGTGCAGGAGGCAGCTGATCGATGTTTCTAACTCTCTCTCTCATCGATGTTTCTAACTCTCTATCCTTCATCCTTTCTCTCTGTAAAAAAATCAATAAAATACATTTTTTTAAAAAAGACAACCTACTGAATGAAAGAAGACAGTCGCCAATAATACATCTGATAAGGGGTTAATATCCACACTATGTAAGGAATTCATACAACTTAACACACACACACACACACACACACACACACACACACACTCCTATTTAAAAAAAAAAAAAATAAGCAGAAGACCTGCATAGACACTTCTCCAGAGAGGACATACATATGGCCAACAGACATATGAAAAGATGGTCAACCTCACTAATCATCAGAGAAAGGCTAATTAAAACCACAATGAGCTATCACCTCACACCTGTCAGAAGGGCTATCATTAAATCAACAAGAGTGAGTGAGGATGTGGAGAAAAGGGAACCCTGGTGCACTGCTAGTGGGAATGCAGATCGGTGCAGCCTCTGTAAAAGCAGTATGGAGAGACCTCAAAAAATTAAAAATCGAACTGCTGTATGACCCAGCAACTTCACTTCTGGGTATTTATCTAAAGAAATCCAAAACACTAAGTTAAAATTAATCTCTGTCAGGCCAGGAGAGCCCAACACAGCACGCCCCTCGGACCCTCCTGACTGGGTTCCTCGGGAGGTGGCTCCTCACCCTCCCATCCCCTCCTCCCCAGACAAGCTCTCCTTGACATCATGGGGGCTATTTAATTCCCCAGTTGAAATCACCCACTCTCTTCTTCTAATCATCTTGGACCAACTGGGGAAATACAGCTTTGGAAGCAAATAAGCAACTCTTTTATTTTGAAGTTTCCTTTTGTAACGAACTTCAGTGACATTTGAGGTAACTTTGCAAAGCACAAAAAGTTCGTTTCCAGATTAACCTTGCTCTGGCCTAGTTGCTCATTTACTTCCAAAGCTGAATATTGTGCCCATTAAAAGATTAACTTTTAGCCTTGAACCTCGTCTGCACTCAGGGGCTGTGGGCTGTGACTTGCTGTTTCCTGCCACATCCAGCTGTGAGCCAGGCTTCGAGTGGCCGCCTCTACATACCACTTTCGTGAGCCCTGGAGGACCCCACAGTCAGGTTTGTGGTTGGGTGTCTCCTGTGGGCTTAGAACTGGGAAGGAGATGAGGTGGCAGGTGGGGCGAGGACAGAGGCCAGAGTCTGTGTGAGGCATTGTGGCTGCTAACTGGGAACTTGCAAGGTGGCAAAAAGGGGTCATGTTGACAGGACACTGAGGACAGCCAAGGAAGGCTCCCCTTCAAAGACGCTCCAGGCAGAAGACGTTGCGTTTAGTCAAGTCTTAGGACCACCTGGTAGCATATTGACCCTTAGGAGGGAGCATGGCTCAAAATCTGTTCACTTGAAAGGTACAGGCCCTGCCCTCAGGGAGGGACTTCATAACTTGACCACTGCTTTCTGGCCGTAGGCAGAGGGAAACAGTGGCATGGCTGCTGCCGGGTTACTGTGATCATCAAATGGAGCACTGAAGGAAGAGTGCTCTGTAGACGCATTTAAATGTGTCCTTGTTTATGACCAGCTAAATGATGAAACCTTTCAACTTTCTGGTTGGATTTTGGTTTTATTGACGGAAGGAGCAAAGCTGCACATTTTAAATGCCAACGCTCTCCATCAGCCACACTTGGCTGCACAGGTTTGCTTCTTCTCATGATGCTTTAAGAAATAGGCCGTGGGAGTCAGATCACGTTACTCAATGTGCAAAGGTGGGCAAAGTATTTTAATCTCCCTGTCCTGTAGGTTTCCCATCGGTGCAGTTCAGAGCATAATAATTGTGCTTGGGGGTTATCATGAGGGTTGGAACATGAACGCACATAAAACAATTTACACAGCACTCAATAAATGGTTGCAATTTTATTGTCATTATTATTACGAAGGAGCCATTCTGCTGTCTCCAGGGATCTTTGTGTAATCAAATTATTCCACTGCTCAGTAGAATAAGAAAACTCCCAACCTTTAAAAACACCAAGTGAGCACTCAGGTCTGTTTCCCAGCATGCCCTGCATGGTCTCCACACCCCACAGACAGCACACAATTCATAACATGACACTAAGGCTGAGTCCCAAAACTCTACTTGGAAGCCTTGTATTTAGAACTCAGCACCCATTTTCCCATAGAAAGAATGCTTTTATTTTTTTTATTTAAACGATTACACATAGTAGTACATATATCTCCTATTTTTCCCCCATTGACCTTCCCCCAGCTTCCCCTACCCCCTGTCGTATGCCCTCATCCCAGAAAGAATGCTTTTAAAATACAGGTTGGATTCCCAGGTGACTGAAAATACCCAGAATTCCTAAAAAGACACCAACATGGATCATATGAATCATACAAGTCATCTGAAATCTTCAAAGGAAAAATAACTTGTTATCTAACTGCGTTAGATTAAATGGCAGTATTGCGAAAGCAAGGTCTGCCTTGAAATTCTTTCCAGCCCCCATCCACGTCCTTGCCCCTTTCCTCAGGCAGGCAAAACTATTTGATCCTCAGATAGTAAGCACCAGATGCCACTGGATGTCCTTGCTCTCAGGGGTTATCTTTCTTATCACTGGTATACTAGTTGTACCTCATTGTTGTTTACCATGAGGCAAAAAGCCCAAACAAATTGAATGAGCTTAAATGAGCTACAGTTATTAATTCGCAAGAGACTTTTATCCTTTCCTCTTCTTTATTTGAATGGAGATCAAAGAAAATGGGAACACAAGCAAACCATTAGATGACCTGGATCATCCCTTTAATATCTGGTGCCTTTAAGTCTTGTATGGATCAAACTGAAATACATAAAAACATAGAGAGCTAAGTCTGCCTCCCAAACTCAGGGAAAGCCTTGAACAAGGTTGTCATTCTCTTCAACTATCAGCCTTACCTCTAAGGAAAACAACGGGCTCAGGACTCTACTGAGCTCTCCACATGCTATGAAAAGAAAAAAATGCATCATCATTGCACTTTCACCCTAGGAAATTCTCTGAAATGCCACGTAACAAGTACTTCATGTGAACAAACTATTTGGCTGTGCACCGTGAGATTGAACTTGGAGAACATCTATCTTTAAAGGCTAACAGAAGCCAGGATTCTGGGCCTTCCTTTGTAATCATTAACTGTCTCATTCTCCATTAACCGTCTCATTCTCTTCAAATGCAGAGGGAGAGAGGAGAGAGAAGGGAGGGAGACCTTCCTGTCTACGTCACAGAGAAGTAGATAGAAGGAACTAGTAAATAGAAGTGTGGTAAAAATGGTGTTTGGTGTATATAAAGATGCTGGGTTATTTATTTCTAAGCAGCTTTCAGATGATATAATTCACACTACTCCAAGCAGGTAATTCTGAGTGAGGCTGAGCCATTTTCCTTGGACCAGACACAGCATCACTGAGTCTCTCTGCTAGAAATCTGCAGAAGAGCATTTCTGTGTGCGTGTAATGAGGGGATTTGTTGAGACAGTGGGAGTTGAGAAATGCCCAGACCTGCAGACAATTTTTATAGGTGTTTCTCTGAGCCAAGCTGACTACATGTGCCAGGGAGCAAGATTTCAAATGCTCCAGAGAACAGCAGTTTTGCAGTTTTATGCATTTGAAATTAAGGTAGGGAAGATTACATGGAGGTGGGAGAAAGCAAGGCGGGGATTGGATAATAGGATAGTGAAGCTTATTTGCTCTTTTGAGGGTGGTTACCTCTTAGAAGACATGACCTGAAAGGTAGGTCATGCATTAAAAGTGTGTGTGTGGAAGGGGGGTGGGGGGGTTAAAAAGGGGCATTTCAATGGTGTGTTAACCCAGATGCACAGAAACAATGGACAGGGCTAGCTTAAAGCAAAGATAAGCATTTTTTTAATTAAGTCTTTTTTTTTTAATATATTTTATTGATTTTTTACAGAGAGGAAGGGAGAGAGATAGAGAGTTAGAAACATTGATCAGCTGCCTCCTGCACATCTTCTACTGGAGATGTGCCCGCAACCCAGGTACATGCCCTTGACCGGAATCGAACCTGGGACCCTTCAGTCCACAGGCCGACGCTCTATCCACTGAGCCAAACCAGTTTCGGCTTAATTAAGTCTTTATTGTTGAAAGTATTACATATGTCCCCTATTTTTCCCCATTGACCCCTTCTAGCCTACCCCTGACCCAGGGCTTCACCACCCTATTGTCAAAGATAAGCCTTTTACTAAGGAAGTGATATGCCTGGAGTGTGACTACCCACCATGACCTGCCCAGTCAGGAATTTATGATCAAATCACCCTGAGATTACTTTCCATGGAAACTCTTCTTTCATCCACAATTGAAACCTGGTAGAGAATTTTCGTCCGACAAGGCAGAGAGAGATGACAGGCAGGGTAATGTCCAACTCAAGCAATGAACATTGATGGACAGCCACTCAGTGTGGCGTACTGTCCTGATGCCTGGGGATGCAGCGTGTGTTGAGGGTCCCAGGTTCAGTGATTCACTGGGAAGACAGCATGTAGGTGAGGCTGTGATTTATTACAGTGAAAGAGTGCTCAGCGAAATGAGCAGAGAAATGGCTTCTGGGGCAGAATCTAGAGGAAGCCAGGTGTAAGCTCCCAGGGGTGCTTTCCCAGGGGAATTATGCAGCAAGAAGTGGTGGCCACTCCTGCCAGTCATTTCAGAGACCAGAGCCCAGGGTGTTTTCAGTGCTGGGGCTGCCCCTATAGACATTCTCTTTCTAGACCAGCGGTTCTCAACTTGTGGGTCGCGAACAATGAAAATACATCCTGCATATCAGATATTTACATTACGATTCATAACAGTAGCAAAATTACAGTTATGAAGTAGCAACGAAAATAATTTTATGGTTGGGGGTCACCACAACATGAGGAACTGTATTAAAGGGTCGCGGCATTAGGAAGGTTGAGAACCACTGCGGTCTAGACTCTCCGGGGGGAAGAAAATGTTCAGCATAAACCACATCATTTGCACAAACAGTTGAGACACAGCGAGCCTGTCTTATCACGGAATCGTAGGAACCCTCCTGAAATCCAAGTTCCCAGCCTCCAGCCCAGGGCCGACCTTGCTAGCAGGCCTTTCTCAGGTTAGCATTCTCAGGCTGCTGGGTTAACCCTTTTCTGCACACAGAGTAGGAAATAAGCGTTTGCAGTGTGGTGGGATCAACTCAATGACTCATTCATTCAACTAAAGTTACCGAGCCCTTGAAGGGTTGGGCGGGAAGGAGAGAAATTAGACGTGGTTGTTGAACTTCGTCAAACTCAACTCAGTGCCTCATTAGCTCCCTGCCCACCCTGGACAAGGTGTGTTGCCTATAAAAAGCCCTGTGGCTGTGCTCCAAGCTCCTCCCCCTCACCTCCATCCGCAACCCACTGCCCATCCCAGGGCTCTGTTTTCTGTCTGCCACCTAATGTCTTTCTGCCTGGCCCCTGAGGTAGGTGTGTGGGGCTACTTCTCTCTTTGACTTGACTAGATTCTGACACAGGCGGGTGCCCTTGGGCCAGTTCTGCCCCATCGCTACCGCCACCAAGAGTCCCAGCACCCCACACTTCCTCTGGCCTGCTTGGCCCCTCGTCCATTACAGGAGTTGCCTGTTTGGTTGTTTGAAGCCCTAGCTCCTGGGGCTCATCCCCATCCTTTAAAGATGTCCAAGCCATCCTGTTTCTACTCACAGCCTTTGGCTTGTTTTAACGCCACTGACACCTGCTGGGAGATGCCCAGAGCTGTGACCTACAGGTTATCACCCGCCCAGTGGAACCCTCTCATGCAGGAGCTCTACACACTGACTCACTGCAACCCGAGCCTCAGCGTCTCCGAGGCTCTGTCCCCACTGCCCTCGCCCCTCCTGGAGGGATTCACCCCAAACCCTGCCCCCTCATCTTTCAGAAGGACCGGGCTCCAGGTTTACAGGGTTCAGAGTGGGGATGGGAAAAGTAGAGGTAGTATCTTGCCTTCTTGGCCTCAAGATTAACAATGACCCAGCCAAGGAACTGGGAAACATCAGCCTCCTCCCTGATACCAACCACAGGTCCGCCCAGGTCAGACACCAGTTCTGGAAACCCTCAGATATTAGTATCAGTTCACCCCCAATTCCCCCACCCTGATGGGTCTCCTCCCAGAAAGCACAGAGGTATGAAATGGCCCTCCAACACCTTTAGGAAATGCTCAGAGCGACTCAATCAACCAGGGAAAGCCACCAAACACCGAAGCTGGTGAGACGGGGGCCGGGTCCTGGGAAGCTAGGAATGCTACGAAGCGGGCACCCGAGAGACAAGAGTGTGATCAGACTTGCATTTTAGAAAAGTCCTGAGCGCTGGAGGGAGACAAGATGTAGAGTGAATCCGGAGGCCGAGACGAAGATAAGAAATGTTTTGAAATAATCTTATAAGATGTGGCAGGGCCTCAACTCTAAGGCAGTGGACTTAGTGATGAGGGGACAGACAAGAGGGAAATTTAGAAGACCAAGCATCAGGAGTGGGGATGAGGTGGAGAGGCAGGAGTGCAGTGAGCATGGCTGCGTGCTGGCTGGTTGCACCTTTGACAGCACATTTACCTCTGCCCAGGGAAAGAACACAGCGGGCTGCCCTGGCCAGGTGGCTCAGTTTATTAGAGCATCACCCCATACACCAGAAGGTGACAGGTTCGATTCCCCATCAGAGCACATAGGCAGGTTGCAAGTTTGATCCCCAGGTCAAGAAAGTGGGGGAGGCAGCCGATCAATGTTTCTCTCCCCCCCCCTTCCTTTCTCTCTCTCTCTCTCTCTCTCTCTCTCTCTCTCTCTCTCTCTCTCTCTCTCTCTCTCTCTTCCTCTCCCTCTCTCTAAAATAAAAATAAAAACACAGAGGGTCAATCATGAATCCAAACAGCTTCGTGCTGTAGCCCCCTTTACCTTCTCTTCTCCCTCTGAATTATTCTTACTGGGTTTGGTTGTTGGGTTTTGGTTTCTCCTTTGAAGGTGCAGAAATGTCCGTGGTGTGTCTGACAGACTTTGAGGCCCTCGCGCGCGAGCGTCTGTCCAAGTCAACTTGGGATTATATCGAAGGAGGAGCTGGTGAAGGTTTCACCCGGGACGACAACATCGCAGCATTTAAAAAGTCTGGTCTCCTGTATCCTTTCTGCTGTTGAACTCGGGGCCTGGTTCACAGGCCTGGGAAGGGAGCAGGCCTGGTTTCTGCCTGCAACGAACAGAGCAGATATAGAATGGCTTTTGTGTTCTTTTGGGTTGGGGTTTGGGGGGGGCAGATGACTGGGGAGAGGAAGGTTGGAGAGAAACTTACCTTAGTGCCTCTGCAGAACTAGCACAAATCAGTCACTCTCCCTCTGCAAAGGTCACCAGTCACCTGGGCAGGGAGCAGACGAGGCTTGCAGGAGAGAAAGTATGACAGGAGAGAGGACTCTGAGTGGGAGGAAATATGGAGACACAGAAGTCTGGTGATGAAGGAAGATTGATTCAAGGCAGAGGTTTGGACCAGAGCAGCAGGGGGCGGAGCACAGACCAGCACACAGCAGCCCACAGGCCAGGTCTGGCCCACCACCATTTTTTGGATGGTGAACAAGCCAAAGAAGGTTAATTATCTCATAACACGATTGAAAAGAATCAAAAGAAGGATTTGGAACAGGCAAAAATTACATAAAATTTAAATTTCAGTATCTATAAGTAAAGTTTTATCAGAACACAACTATGCACAGCCACTTACATATTGTCTGTGGCTGCCTTGACATTACAACAGCAGAGCTAAGTCATTGTGACAGAGACACAGAGTCTAAAATGTTGGCTGTCTGGCCCTTTGCAAAAAGGCTGCTGTCCCCGTGAGAGAGAGCTCAGGAACAAACTGAGACCCGGGACACAAGGCCAGCACCACCTTCTGTGTCTTCGTGATTGTTTAGCTCCTGCTGACTCGGCACTTTGATTGCTTTATTTCATTTTGTCTCCACAAAACTAGGAAATGTGGAATATTCCTCCATTTCAGGGATGAAGTAATGAGCCTATCTGCCCCAGCTTGCACAATCAGTATTGCCAGGAAAACCTTTCTAAAGCTGTGTGCAGGAGCAATAATATTTTGTGAAAGACAAGCATTTGGGGCCCTGAAGCTAAGTATCTGTTTGCTTTAAAATGTTTTACATATTTGTCATGGGTAAATTTCCCTACCTTCTACAGCAGTCTTTAGGTCATAACTCCAAACGGATTAGCCTCTAGCTAAAAGAACGCCATGACCTCCCCCTGGGCTTTGACCGCTTTCAGTGACCTCTTCTGACTTAGAGACTTGAACCTGAGAGGGAAGGGCCAAGAGCTCTCTGCTGTTTATGCCTTCCCTCTCTAGTCCTTACTCTGATGAATCAGCCCGAGCATCCACATGCTGAGAGTGGTCAGGGCGGCCAGCTCAGAAACACAGGCCACGGAGGGAGTGAGGAGGGTTTGTGGGGTCCACAGAAGATGGGTTCGTGTGAAACCAGTGTTGGGAGAAGCTTCCTTAAGGAGAGGAGCCTCCAGTCTGCTGTGCTGCGTATTTAGCTACCAGCCAATGGTCCCCCACCAGAGGTTTCCAGGGACCTAGTCTGGTCTCCAACTGCACCAGGAATCTGGAGGCCTCAGCAGCAGGCAGCACCTTGGTGCTGGAGATAATCCCACCAACAGGAAACCTCTTTGTTGTCTAGCACAGAATCCGCCTCCGGCCCCGGTACCTGAAAGATGTGTCGCAGGTGGACACCCGGACCACAATCCAAGGGGAGGAGATCAGTGCCCCCATTTGCATTGCGCCCACGGGTTTCCACTGCCTGGCCTGGCCCGATGGAGAGACCAGCACAGCCAGAGGTGTGAAGCAGGCCACCTGCGGCCTGCAGTGTGCAGGAGGAGGCCTCCTTCAAGCAGGGCAGGCGGCCACAGGGTTTCTCTAGAGCAGTGATGGCGAACCTATGACACGCGTGTCAGAGGTGACACGTGAACTCATTTTTTTGGTTGATTTTTCTTTGTTAAATGGCATTTAAATATATAAAATAATTATCAAAAATATAAGTCGTTGTTTTACTATGGTTGCAAATATCAAAAGATTTCTATATGTGACACGGCACCAGAGTTAAGTTAGGATTTTTCAAATGCTGACACGCCGAGCTCAAAAGGTTCGCCATCACTGCTCTAGAGAAAGGGCTTAGGGACAGCAAGTGGTTGGAATTAAAGAGGGTGGGAAGAGGAATGCTTAACACTGTGTTTGCATAACACTTCCCCGAAGATTGAAAAAATGCCCATTTCGCCCAGCCAGCATGGCTCAGTGGTTGAGCATCAACCTATGAACCAGGAGGTCACGGTTCGATTCCTGGACAGGCACATGCCCAGGTTGCGGGCTTGATCCCCAGTGTAGGGCATGCAGGAGGCAGCCGATCAATGAGTCTCTTTCATCATTGATGTTTCTTTCTCTCTCTCCCTCTCCCTTCCTCTGAAATCAATATGAATACATTAAAAAAAGAAAAAGAAACATCAATGAATCGAATTGTGGCCTCTTGGTTCACAGGTGGACACAACCACTGAGTAACACCAGCCTGGCATCACTGATGTTCTTATCCTTCCCTCCCTCTCCCTTCCTGTCTCTGAAATCAATAATTTTTTTAAAAAAAATTTTTAAACAAAACAACAAAAACTGACTTCTATCCCTGCCCCACAGGGCAGCAGAAGGAAGTCGGGCCTTCTCTTCACTCATAGGGCAAGTTGGCCAGAAGCAGTGCAGGTCCTTAGGGCTTCTGGCCCCAGCCTGGAATGCCCCTGGCCTCCAACCTGAGTTGTGTCATTTGCTCTGCAGCTGCCCAAGCAGCCGGCATCTGCTACATCACCAGCACATATGCCAGCTGTACCCTGGAAGACATCGTTGCCGCGGCCCCCAGAGGCTTCCGGTGGTTCCAGCTCTACGTGCAGCCAGATCGGCAGCTAAACAAACAGCTGGTCCAGAGGGTAGAATCCTTGGGGTTCAGAGCCCTGGTGATCACCGTGGATGTGCCCAAACTTGGCAACAGGCGACATGACATTCGCAACCAACTGAACTTGAAGACAAATTTACTGCTAAAGGATCTTCGGTCACCTCAGGAGGTAGGAAAGATACCAGGCCCAATGGGCAGGCATTAAAGAAGGCAAAGTCCCTTCTGTGGTTCCTCCCTTCCTTCTTTCCACAAGAATTCATTGAGTGCCTGCCCTGTGCCAGACACTGGTGATGCAGCAGAGCTTCCAGAGCTTCCCAGAGCTTCCAGACAAACAGAGTGTAAGACCAAATGTTCTTCTGGAACTGTCCAGTCTGTCACCAGAAGTGTTCTGGCCAGGGCCGAGTGCTGAGAAAGCTGCTATAAATAGGATTTTGCATGGGTCTTCCAACATTTTCTACTTCATGGCACACTTAGAAAACGGTCATTTTGGGAGGCACACTTCGATAAACTGACCCTCTGACAGGGTGCTCACAGCGAAGGTGACCAGCCCTTGGGGTGTAACCAGCCTAGGCCCCACCCTGCTGCCCTGAGAAATGAGGGGTCAACATCTCTGCACACCTGGAACTCATCCAGGGAGCACCAGGTATTTGGAATCTCTGAACTCGATGACAGCAAAGGGCACTTCACCCATTAAAATCCTGTCAGATGGGGTGGGATGCCCCAGAGAGAGAAAATCATGGTCAAGTTGGAATTCCTTGGCTACAGTGAAGACAGAGACCCCAGGCTTTTCAGTTAATGGGTACCAGCAATATCCAACCAGGAGACACTCGACAGTCCTACTCATTAAGTCATACACACTTGGCCTTGAGGCTTTCAGGAACCCTTATCTCAGAGTCCAGGAATTTATGGATATTTGGTAGTGCCCATGGTGAGTCAGGGGTCAATATTACATACTATCGGATTTAGGATTATTGAAGTATTGCTTCTTTGTCATTGTCCTGTGCATCTCTCAACCAGAATGTGTTACATTGGCCTATGAATGCTTTTGCTTATCCATCTCACTAAACTCTGAGTTCTTTTAACATAGGGACTGTGTCTCAACTGTCTTGTGTCCCCAGATCCTGGCATAAAGGAACAGGGAAACAATGAATGGTTAATGAATAAGCAATTGAAGTATAAAATTATTTTTGTAAAGGAAAGGAGCTGGAAATGGGATTGGTTTTTATAGCTCCTCTTTTCAAGCTCATAACTGCTTCTTTTCACTTATTCACTAGCTTTCTGAATGTGCCTCATTTTTGGAATGGATCAAGCAGCCTTGAAGGAATTCAGGACTAAGGTTTCTCTTTTATTCCCCACAGAGAAATTCAATGCCATATCTGCAGATGTCTCCCATCGACTCATCCTTCTGCTGGGAAGATCTCTCGTGGTTTCGGACCATAACTCAACTGCCCATCATCCTTAAAGGGATCCTGACAAAAGAGGATGCAGAGTTAGCTGTGAAGCACAATGTGCAGGGCATCATTGTTTCCAACCACGGAGGGAGGCAACTTGATGACGTTCCTGCTTCTGTAAGTAGGAGGACCTCAGAGGGAGTGTGTGTGTGTGTGTGTGTGTGTGTGTGTGTGTGTGTGTGTGTGTGTCGAGCAGTGGTCGGCAAACCGCAGCTCGCGAGCCACATGCGGCTCTTTGGCCCCTTGAGTGTGGCTCTTTCACAAAATACCACGTGCAGGCGTGCACGTACAGTGCGATTGAAACTTCGTGGCCCATGCGCAGAAATCGGTTTTCGGAAAGGAGACAGACGAAACAAGTATACAAGACGAGTGTGAATGGGAGAGTTGGAAGGGGTCGACCTCAGTGAACGTACCTCAGTCAGATTGAGGATGTTTTTAGCAAAGGCCAGCTTAGGAGGACCCTAATTAAGTTCATAACAATGTACCTACCTATATAGTTTAAGTTTAAAAAATTTGGCTCTCAAAAAAATTTCAATCGTTGTACTGTTGATATTTGGCTCTGTTGACTAATGAGTTTGCCGACCACTGGTTTAGAGCAATGTACTCTGTGCAGTTTGGTGCACACTGTCCCCTCTCTCTTACCACATATGTTGGTATATGTGTGTACATTTTAAAGATTTTTTAATACCCTATTTTTAAAATATATTTTTATTGACTTCAGAGAGGAACAGAGAAGGGGAAAGAGACAGAAACATCAATGATGAGAAAGAATCATGGATCAGCTGCCTCCTGCACACCCCACACTGGGGATTGAGCCCCCAACCCAGGCATGTGCCCTGACCGGGAATCGAACTGTGACCTTCTGGGTCATAAGTCAACACTCAGTCACTGAGCATACCAGCCAGGCTAAGGACTTTTAACAGCCTCATGTGTACCAGGCTGTTTTTACACACTTTACATTTATTATCCCTCAAGCTCACAACAGTCCTGCAAGGTGGGTATTACTATCCCCATGTTGCAGAATGGGATGCTGGAGTTATTAGTGTTAAGTAACATCTCCAGTTCACACAGTTAGTAAGTCATTGCGGTGGGTTTGCTGTTAGAGGTGTTTCCGAAGCACTGAGGTCCCTGCCTCCTGGAAGAAGCACTCAGCTGGAAGGTTGCCTGTCTACATGGATTGCAACCTCACATTTTCTCAAATGACTCAACCCAGCAAGGAACAGTGTGTCACTTACACTGATAAATAACTGTCTTTCACAATACAACTTTAAAGTGCTCCATAAATCCTTTGCAAAAAATTTAGGACACTCTGTAATTTTTCCCATAAAGTGAATTTATGTGCATTAGATACGGAGTTTGGGGAAAGAAAATGAAGAGGAGAGAGGCAGAAAAAGAACATCTAAATTGGAATTGTTGCTTTATCTTCATGAAGATATATATTTTCAAGATACATATTTTCATGAAGCTTATTTTCCAGATTCTTCTATTGCTGCTTGACTCATTTTAAGAAAGAAAGTGGATTTTTTTTCCCCCTCTATTTTTGGCCTTTTTACTATATATGTATAACATGTGCAGTGCAGAGAAATTATAAAATACACAAAAGCAAAAAAAGATAAAAAGTACCCCTATTTTTATCACTATCATTAATGTTAATATTTTGGGAATTATTTTTATCAACTGTGTAATGCGCATATAACATTTTAGGTTTAAAAATGGTACATAATATTTTTAATTTTCTTCTTTTCACACAAATATATTAAGGGCATCATATTATTTCAATATATATGCTCCTCTTATTTTTAATCGTATGAATGGACAGTTTATGATTTTCTAAAAGTTACTTTTCAATTGCACTTGACATACAATATTACATTAGTTTCAGGTGTACAGCATAATGATAAGACATCTATGTACCTTATGAAGTGATTGCCTGATAGGCCCAGTGCCCACCTGGCACTATACACAGTTATTACAATATTATTGACTATATTCCCTAGGCTGTACCCTACATTCCTGTGACTACTTTTATAACTGGCAATTTGTGCTTCTTAACCATGAAAGGATGATTTATATAACAAACTTGCTATTGTTGAACATCTCTATTGCTTCTAGCGTCTGCAACTTTAAACAATGCCTGAGTGACCATCCTTAAAGCTTTAGCACATTCTCAATAACTTCTGTAAGATAAACTGCAGGAAACACAAAAGCTACAGGTTTAGACTCCTGGTCCTCGCCCCTGCTGAGAGCCCTCTGTCTCCATGCTCTGAGTCAACCTCAGGCCACATGTGCTCTGCTTCAGGTGGACGCCCTGCCGGAAGTGGTGGCTGCCGTGAAAGGGAAACTGGAGGTGTACCTAGACGGTGGAGTCCGGACAGGCAACGATGTGCTCAAGGCTCTGGCCCTGGGGGCGAAGTGCGTCTTCCTGGGGAGACCAGTCCTGTGGGGTCTTGCCTGCAAGGTGAGACCAAAGGGAAACCAACCTGGAGATACCCATGTTTCTCATTCCTTTGCATGAGTTTCTGTGGTCTAGCCTCCAAGCTTAACCATTTTTCCAGGTGCCGCGGATTCCTGAAGGAGGGATACACCCAGCCCGCACCTCCAGGCTTCCTCTGCAGCGCACTGCACATTTTCAAGAGCTCTCACCCCTTTTCCTCTTGGTGTTTGTTTGTTTCACAGGTACCCCCATGCTCCTCACCAAGTCTCCATGTCTCTGAGCACACCTAGAATTTATATTCAGCTCATGGTCACAATGTTCCTTTCTCTCTCTCTCTCTCTCTCTCTCTCTCTCTCTCTCTCGCTCTCTCTCTCAGGGTGAACATGGTGTTGGGGAAGTTTTGAACATTTTAAAGGATGAGTTCCACACGTCCATGGCCCTTACAGGTGAGTGAGTCCAACTCTTTTCCTAATTTGAAAGCGGAGGTCTAAGGAGCAGGAAGGCAGCCCCCCTTCTAGCACCTCTCCCCAGCCGAGGGATGCCAGAAGAGACAGCAGGAAAGAAATGTCCCTGACAGAGATTTGTCTTCGATACATCTTAACCATGAAAGAACAGTTTATATAACAAACCTGCTATTGTTGAACATCTGGATTGCTTCTAAGCTTCTGCTATTTTAAGCAATGCATCCGTGAGCACCCTCAAAGCTTTAGCACGTTCTCAGTTACCTCTGTAAGACAAACTGCAGGAAACACACAAGCTACGGCTCATATTTCCTGGTCCTCACCCACTGAGAGCCCTGCTGTCCCATTACTCAGGTGTACAGAGGTAAGCGTAGTGTCACATTATGGGAGCAAGGCCTGCAGGTTACTCTGGACTGTTCGGATCATATCAGGCTCTCTGGATGTGGCTCTGGGTGTCATTGTAAAACAATACTCCTGGACTGTGAATAGCCGAGAAATTATGTCAAAGAGGAAGTACAGAGGGACCCAGGAGAGAGAGAAAAACAGGGCGAGGAGGAGAAGCATTGTCCCCCGTAACCACAAGCAGCAAGACAGACGTGTCTCAAAATTACATGGGTTTCAGTCAAAAATGAAATTATTGTGAAGTGGCGCTCATAAAAACTTCTACGTTTTCAGCAAAGCCTGGAGTCCCAGTGATCCCGCAAAACAGTGGTTCCCAACTAACGGTGGTGACTTTCCTCTTCTAGGGCATTTGGTTTGGGGTTTTTAGTTTGTGTTTTTCGAATTCTAAGTGACTCAATTTCAAATGACCCCACGTCACCGAGTTCCTCCCATGAGGGAGGGGAAGGCATACGTGTGAACTGAGAGCATATTGGGAGCCGCAGGGGAGGGGTGGGAAGACCTGCGGTGTCTGTGGATTCCAGGAGGCTGAGACGACTGTCCTTCTCCCACAAATCTCCCCTCCCCCCCTTCTTGGAAATTGATGTCCAAACTTCTTTTCACAAAAGCCTGATAGAAACTCAACAACAAAGCTTCATCATTCCACCAAGAGTTAACACCTACTCACCACTCCCGTGTTAATGGCAGCGTTAAGGCAGCCGGAAACTATTACTGAGACCTTTTGAACACCTTTGTAACGGGCAAGGAAAAAGGAAAGGAAAAACAGGATTATGGGCACTTTTGTGCCTGACTCTGTACTCCTCTCCCTTCTAATCGTTCTGCAATGAGAATGTATTGTTTTAAATGTATAGAAACAGTAGTAATCACAACCAAACAAGGGACAGGGAAGAGGGTTCGAGGGGAAGGGAAAGAATAGGAAACCCAGACAACAGGGCATCCCTGCACATCCTCTGTTTAAGAGGCACTGCTCCAGGTAAGACCCCCCCGGACACCTCCCTGGAGAGAGGGGATCTCAGGTTGGGGGCCTGTGCATTTGATGGAACCCAGCAAAATACAGAATCATAGTGTGCAACCCAGAGATTGTGTCACTCCCTGTTCCTCCCCTGCACAAGGCAGGTAAGACGCCGACACAAATTGGTGCCCAGGAGGCAGCTGATCGATGATCACCTAATTCCCCGGGAAATGTGTGGTATTTCCCCCTGATATCTCTGTGACATCACAGCCCTGGGAGGAGAGCCCTATGAACACTATTGCTGAAAACAAAGTAAGTTGAAAAGTACTGTTTTTCCAACTGGGAGACCAATTTCTGAAATTTTTGTATTTACAAAAAGGTTAAAATGATGATTTGTTTTGAAAAACAAAAATGTCCACATAGAAATCCCATCTCCCGAAGGCTGCACAGATCTCACTAAGTTCTCATCCCTCATCCACGTAAGAGCATCCGAAGCTGTAGAGAATTTTTATAAAGATTTATTCGACCCAAACAGAGGGCACGTACGCCTGGACGCAAGAGAGGCGAATGTTTCAAGAGAGATAAATTTTCAACAGAGATAAACGCTTCTAAGAAAGGACAGTTTCCAACCTCCTTTACGCATTTGCAATTAAGGAGGGAGGATCACATGAAGGTGGGAGATAGCGACGTGGGGGATGGGTTACAGGGCAGTTAACACTACCTGCTCTCCCGAGAGTGCTGGCTTCTGAGAAGAGGCATCAAGGCCTTGCAAAGGTGCCTGAACCTGGAGGCACAGGAAGCATGGACAGGGCTTGCTTACCTTTTACTAAAGAAGTGATATGCCTCGGGTATGACTACCCACCATGATCTGCCCAGCTGGGAATCTATGATCAGATCACCCCGTGAGGTCACTTTCCATACCCCCCTTTTTTCGGGTCCACAGCTTCAATACTATTTTTCCTGCAATAGATAACCACAGAGTCTATCCTGGCATCTCCGTGCTCCGTGAGTAGGTCTGCCTGCTTGGAAGTCCCACTCTTCTCTGCCCTGTGGAAGCCCAAGGCTCTCGAGTTCTTTGTCCATCCTGGGAGTCACCCCAGGCAGGCAACTCAACTCCTTCCTCTGTTTCCACTTTTAGAAAAAGACCCTCTTTTGAGTCATATTTTTTGTAACACATTTTGCTGAAGTTATGTTTGGGGAGGTGAAGGTGCATACATCAGAGGCATAGAAAGAAATTCCAGGTGAACGTTACACATCCTGTTGTTCAATTCCAGCAGCCTTCTCGTCACCAGGGAGATTTCACTGCTTCCTTCAGCCCTTGGTTCTCAGCCCGTAAGCCACGCAGCCCCTCTCTCCCTCTTCTTCTACTTCTTAAAATATATTTTTATTGATTACAGACAGGAAGGGAGGGGGAGGGAGAGATAGCAACATCAATGATGAGAGAGAATCATTGATCGGCTGCCTCCTGCATGCCCCACACTGGAGATCGAGTCTGCAACCCAGGCATGTGCCCTGTCTGGGCATCGAACCGTGACCTCCTGGTTCATAGGTCAACACTTAACCATTGAGCCACCTCGGCCAGGACTCTTCTACTTCTTATCCGAAGTCACTTTCTGTAGCCCCTGTGTGATCTCAGCTACAATCCTAAATTTGCGTTCTAATGAGGACCCTTTACTACAAAAGGGGTTTCATTTTTCAGAACTTCTCCTTAGAAGGCTGTTGCTATATGAAATACCCCATCTCCTAAGCTGTCCTGAGTCATTTCCTCCTAGACCAGGGGTGGGCAAACTTTTTGACTCGAGGGCCACAATGGGTTCTTAAACTGGACTGGAGGGCCGGAACAAAAGCATGGATGGAGTGTTTATGTGAACTAATATAAATTCAAAGTAAACATCATTACATAAAAGGGTAGGGTCTTTTTTTTTTTTTAGTTTTATTCATTTCAAACGGGCCGGATCCGGCCCGCGGGCCGTAGTTTGCCCACGGCTGTCCTAGACAGACACGTCCTAGTCTCTGAGCCTAGCAGGACCGAGATCAAGGTGAAGGGTATCTACTGCACACACACATTGCTTAAAAAATGCTAAAATGTTTTTACGTTTCTGTCATGCCATTTTGACATGGCTGCCAAAAGAGGACCCAAGCACAGGCTCCTGAAATAATTCCCGAGGCCATGGCTGCCAAAAGAGGACCCAAGCACAGGCTCCTGAAATAATTCCCGAGGCAAACAGAATGACATCATTCATTCTGGATGCGTAATATTGCCTCAGGGTGAGCACCAGCGGCAAGTCAGGGCCTGTTCCCATTGGCTTATCCACACCATGAGGGCGCGGTATTCTGGTGCTGAGAGAGAGGAGCTTCTGAACTCCTTGTTCTTTTAGGCTGCCGGTCGGTTGCTGAGATCAATCAGGACCTGATCCAGTTCTCCAGGTTGTAAAGAAAGAGCTGGGGACAGGATTGCCGAGGTGGCCCACGGGAAGACCAAGCCAGAGCCTGTGTGTGACACCATCCTGCCCAGGACTCAATCCTCCTGTCCAGCGGCTCAACCACTTCACCCCACACTTACCCTCATCTGCCTCAAATGTGTCAGGCCCTCCTCTGTCTCACTGCTTTTTATATGCTGTTCTCTCGCCTGAAAGCCCCCTCTGAAAGAAAAGGGCGGGTCAATGATGACTGACTAGTGGATGAAATTCTTGCATATCCTCTACATCTCTATGAAACATCTATGGGCATCTGCATTCTGGACAGAAGAGCAATACATATAAAGTCACCCCCCAACAAAAATCATCCTCCTGTCTAAAGATAATAGGGAAATAATAGAGTTTAAAACATAGGCTGTGGAGTCATGCAAACAAGGGATTAACAGTCAGGGCTGCTCCTGACAAGCTGGGTGCCTGGGGGAAGTTTTTCAATATCTCAGTGTTTTCTTGGCCTCCTCCCCGGGCCTCATCCCCCATCACCCATTAGGATGCAGCATCACATACAGTGGGGCGTGGTGCACTTCCTAGAACTTCGTTCCCTGGAATTTTACTTCTAGATCTCAGAACTCTGCCTCAGACACCATTTGTGTCACGTCCACAACTTTGGTCTCATTATTCTCTTCACATCAGAAATAAGAAAATACCTCAAGCCCTAACTGAATTGGCTCAGCGGATAGAGCGTCGGCCTGCGGACTGAAGGGTCCCAGGTTCAATTCCGGTCAAGGGCATGTACCTTGGTTGTGGGCACATCCCCAGTGGGGAGTGTGCAGGAGGCAGCTGATCGATGTTTCTCTCTCATCGATGTTTCTAACTCTCTATTCCTCTCCCTTCCTCTCTGTAAAAAATCAATAAAATATATTAAAAAAAAAATACCTCAGTACCAGATTGTCCTTTGTGGTGCAAAAGAATGACTAACAGCCTTGAAAATACGGTTTGAAACCAGAGAATCATCGGTAGAATAACAGCCACTCTTTTAACCCCTTCACAACCTCACAAGTCAGATTTTTTTTTTTCATGCTTGTTAGACAGACATGAGCAGAGCAAGACGATGGATCAGGTACGGAGACTCACCAGGGCAGAAAGCCTGGATGCCTCGCAAGGGGCAAAACTGGGGGAGCAAGAACCTTGTCCCCGGGGTAACCTGTCCTCCCGTAGCATATCTCTGGTCATGAAGTTTGGACCCCTGATCTTTCATATCGCTGGTTGGGCAGTTTAGACCCCCTGACCTTTTCCTCCTAAAGGTAACATCTAGGCCTCAGTTATATTTCAGCTCCAGGCTCAGAAAAGCAGCAAAACCAGACAAGTGACACCGTGGCTGCCTCAGGACCAGCTGCACTAATGACCCCCTGCCCTGGCACCGAGCCTCAGTGGAGACCACAACCCCAAAGGAGCACACGGGGAAGGATAATGGATATTCTATTCAGACCCTCCCCTGGGACCTCCCCTAAGATTCCCACCGGCAGGAGAGAGAGAAGTATGGTCAGGACAAAGGACCCAGTGCACACTCTCCCCCAGAGGAGCCATTCCCTTCCTCCTTCTTCCCTTTAAGTGACCCCGCGAGACTTGGAATGAGGGGAGCAATGGGCAGTGGCATTGCTAAGTCCCTGAGCCTGTCTCCAAGGCCTGCTGTTCTCTGACGTCTCAGTGAGCCAGAGCAGCCCACCCTACACAATTCTGTTGCTTCTATGCCCTTCCTTATTTCACTGTCCTAAGTATGTTTTTGCTGCCATCAGGGACCCAATGCCCTTTGGCTCAGTGCTGTGTACCCCTTCCCTTTGGATGCCCCAGCCCCCAGCCCCTCTCCTTAAATAAATTCAAATCTTCTGTATCCACATCTGAGATGGCTATTTGGTCTGCCCATACATCACCGACTTTAACCCTTCGATGCTCTGATTATCTTACTGGCCTGTGAACTTGTAAAATTCCCCATTTTCTCTGCAATAACTTTACTTATGAAGACTTGTAAGCAGGCATGATGGCCAGTCCTGAAATCACCAGCTGGGCGCTTGACTGAGTCATTCTAGTTTGGTTTGGGGTAAGAGTGATTTTGATAGCAAGTTGTGCTGATAATGGAGTTCACTTACATTACAAGAGAATCTAGCATAAATCCTCCCTGGATGCATGGTGGACAAGGCGAAGAGAACTTCTCCACTGGAAAGTGTGCAACAATGGAATGGAACATTTAGTATCTAAAAGATAAGCCTTTTTTCTGATAAAGAGAATCAGCTTTGAAACCACTCCAGGGTCAGGCTGCCTGGCTGAGATTCCCACGTCACTGTCCTCGAGATGTTTGGCAAGACTACAAACATCTCTGTCTTCCTCTCTTAAACAATAATACCAACTCTTTCGGGCTAACATCGTGAAAATTAAATGGCATAAAGGACTTCTGTTTCCTAATCCAGGATGCGAGGAGCTTAAAGAGGTCTCCACTCCATCCTAACAAGTCAAAAGCTGGACAAACTGAAAAATTAACAACTCTGCTCAGTCCCTCAGAAAAGTGAGGTCACAGAGCAAACCGCTGCCCCCCATTGGAGAGACAGGCAGACCCGGAGAATCACAACTTACCTGAGCAGAAATCTGTGGACAAACCTCCATGAAAGTCATACCAAGGTAGGAAACTGAGCTGTAATTGACAAATTGACCAGTCTGAAAGTTAAAAACCCAGGGGGGTCCAATCACAGGAGGCCCCCAGACTTTTGCTTTACCTCCAGGAACTCTACCTGGTTTACCTCCTGGTTCTCTCAGTGAGTATTAGAGAAAACTCCTCTAGAGCTTCCATAAGGGGAAAGGAACCATTCTGAAATGTGCCTGCCAGAGCTCTCTGCGCTTAGCAAGGCCCGCCCTCAAGAGAAACTATTTCAGCAGACCCGGCCTAGCCTATCTGGGAGGTGGAAAATACTCAACTCCAGCCCCCCTGTAGCCACCCTGTTCCACCTAAAGGGGGGCAGAGGGGGACCGGGAAGCACTGGTCAAGTTCACAGGTCAGCAGCACAGGTTCACCGAAAGACTGAGCCCTAAACTATAGGACTAAAAACACAAAGACATTCAAAGTCCTGGATTGTTTGTGTAACCTTCCATTCATTCATTCATTCATTCACTTCCTGTTATGTGTCAGATATTGTACTAATTCTTATGGGGATATAAAATATAAACTTAGTCAAACATGCAACAGTTTTTGAACACAACTAGACCCCTAATCTCCTGATACAGGCCATAGAAGTGGGCGGCTATCGCTGGATAACTTCCCCCAGACCTCTCGGGGGGGGGGGGGGGGGGGAGCAAAATTGACCTCTGGATATATAGCGTGGGGAAGAAAGTCACCCCCCGCACAACATCGTGCTTGGAGCTGCCACCATTGCAAATGTCTCCACTTTGCAAGATGACATTTCCAGCCACACCCTGAGAGAGGAGACAGGGGCTAGAATGCCCCCCTCCCTGGGTGTATCTACTTCACAGGCAACAGTCCCACTGTGCTGGGAGACGTCTCCTAGTCTCGCTGAAATTCACAGATGGTGGGTCCCCCACAGCCAGAGCCACCTGCGGGTGTCCTGCTGTGGGTGGCACCGAGCATCTTTATCGCTGTGGCCTTGGAGCTGGCCTTCTCTTGCTCTGCTTCGAGGGGAAAGGGGATAGAAGTCAAAGCTGAAGTTCCGCACTTTGTGGTAGGAGGGATCCTGGGGCAGGAATGAGCAATGAATATGTAGTAGATAGAGTCCAAGATAAAAAGGCCAAGCCAGAGGGGATGGGGCAAAACTCCAGTCTTCCTTCCAGGGAGAGACTCAGAACTCAGGCTCTTTCATCTGACTTTTAGCAGTCGAACAGGTTGGAGCGTTTTAAAATTTTTCTCTCAAGTAGTCGTGGTTGCGGAGGAGTCGGGGGAACAGAACGGATGTGTGTGCACCTGTAACCACCTGGCCGCTGTGGGGGCCTTCTTCAGGGTGGGCCTCTATCCCACCTGCTCCCCAGCTTTCTGGTTTCTGGAGCGTGCCTCTTGGTTGCAGGTGTGCCATGGCTGGGTGGAGCTGCCTCGTGACGGGCGCAGGAGGCTTCCTGGGGCAGAGGATCATCCGCTTGTTGGTGGAGGAGAAAGAGCTGCAGGAGATCCGGGCGCTGGACAAAGTCTTCAGACCGGAATTGCGGGAGGAATTTTCTAGTAAGTGAACTTGGGTCATGGGAAAATGGCAAAGCTAACCTTGAACCTAGGCAGTCTCGCCTCAGAGTCTGTGCTCTTAACCTCTAGTTTGCCTGAAAGGTTTCCTCTGGGCCTCCCTCCCACCCAACTCACACCACATAAGCAAAGGCATATTCAGCCTCACCAAGTCCACGGAGCCATGGCTCCCCCACTGGGGTTTCCACAGCACCCTCTCCTGGCTTCTCTGCATCCCTGCAGGCTAGGCGGGTAGGTAAGATTTCTCCCCTCCCCTGCTGCCCCCTCTACCCTCCCTTCCGCCCCTCCCCACCCCCCAGGATATATTGAGTCTTTTGATCCAGTCTACTGAAGTCAGCAGCAAACAACAGGCAGAGGAAGGGAGGGGAGAGGGCAGAGGTGGGTCAGGCTGACTCTAGCTGCTTCTCTCCTGCCTTTCCCCTACTCTGGGGTCTTCTGGGGACAGAGCAAACTTGGCAGACACTTCAGGAGAGCAGATGGTTGTTCCCAGTTGTGACCTAGGAAGGAGATTCTCCGGCCCTGAATTTTCCCCTCTGAACTCTCTTACTGTTCTCTGGCCTCCACTGCCAATTTTTGTTCAATAGACTTCTCACTGTACCCCAGAACTGGGCCAGTCCTGCACTTGGGTGGCAAGGGAAGGTGAGCAAGGCTGAAGGCAGGGGGGAGGCTGAGTCACTATAAGTGTGACTGAGACCTGCCCCTTCCTCTCTGAGCCGCAGTTCCCTCACTTGTAAAGTGAGCATCAGAATGCCTATCTCGTGAGACAGCTGGGAAAGGAAGTCAGAAAACTATGGGGGTTGAGTGTTGAGTAGGAAGCACAGGATAAATGCAGGGTGTTTATCCAAACGGTAGGTAGCACAGCGCTGTCACTCCCGTGGGCTTCAGAGGAGCAGAAGACCCTGCTGTGGTAGTTGCTGCCCTCGGCTCCAGGGCTGGGAGCTTTCATTCGGCCTAATAAGAGTTTGGGCTCATCCTAAAGTCCCCGCACGTGGTTCCGCTATCCTCCTGGTACCCGAGACTTTGGCTCTTCCTCTCAGCCCATCTCCAACAAGAACCAGAACCTGACATGGCGAGTTCTGCACATCCAACCTTGTGCATCCCTCCCCTTCTCTGCCCAGTGCAGCTGCTGGGACCCTGACTCCCGTGCCCCCGTCTGAACTTTGGTCCAGACATTCAGATTGATCTCTCCACTACTTTGCTTTCTCTTACACCCTCCCCACAAGCCACTGCGGCCAGGGTGAGCTTCCTACACAACTCTGTTCATGTTTCTCCACTCATTCCAAATCCGTCCATGATCCTCATTCCCTACAGAATGAAATCCGAATTCCGTCCTCTTTATAGCCGCTCTCCACAATCACCCCACTCTCCTCAATGAAGGGATGGACTTCCCACAAGTCCTTTTGACAATTTAGTGTTCCGGGCACGCTTGATTCCTCACTGCTCAAGTTCTTTTTTGGAATGAGATGGGTGGAAACAGATGTCTGCTATTTCCAAAAAACACTACACATTCTGATCTCTGTGCTTTGGATTACTTGTCCTTCTGTGGAATGTGCCTCCCTCCCTCGCCCCGCCCTCTTCCCCCCTCCCCACCACTTGTCCTAGGAGACCTGGGTAAAATGCCACCTTTATCAGGAAACTCCCAGATCCAAGATGCCTCTCAGTGACCTGACGGTGTTCACACAGAGCTCCAGAGCCAGAGCAAGCTGACCTTGCTGGAAGGAGACATTCTGGATGAACAGTTCATGAAGAGAGCCTGCCAGGGCACCTCGGCTGTCATTCACGCCGCCTCTGTCATTGACGTCTTCAATGTCATTCCGAGAGAGACCATCATGAATGTCAACCTGAAAGGTACTATATCCTTGGGAGGAGGTGGCGTGGGGTGGGCAGGTGAGGCTGGGAGAACAGGACAAGGTAGAGAGGAGCAGCCCAGTCGCTGATCTCCTGAGATCTGTGCTTTTGCTTAGCACTACCAACCGAGAGAGTGTTGGCTGTTGTCCTCAGGATTTTTGTTGTTGTTGTTTTAAGAGGAAAGGAGAGGGAGGGAGGGAGGGAGGGAGGGAGGGAGGGAGGGAGGGAGGGAAACATCAATGATCAGAGAGAATCAATGTTTGGCTGCCTCCTGTATGCCCCCTAGTGGGGATTCGGAACACCATCTGGGCATGTGCCATGACCAGGAATCAAACCAGGACTTCTTGGTTCATGGGTCAGTGCTCAACCAGTAAGCCATACCAGCCAGGTGTCCTCAGGTGTTTAAATGAGAAAACTAGGGCTGAGAAAGGCTAAGTAGCTTCCAAGGCCCCATGAGCCAGAGAGGGAGAGCTAGGATTTAAACCCACAGCTGTGTGACTCCAAAGGCCACAGAAGCTCTTTCTAGTGCTGCTCCCATCGAGAGGGAACTAAACTCCAACCTCCAACACTTGATACCCAACCACCTCTCCTGGGCTGGAACCGGGTCTCCCAGCTGCTTCCTTAGTCATCATTTTAGCCCTCCCGTGTGGCTCTAAGGCGGTGGTCACACATTGGGGCCAAGAACTAAGGGCTCTGGGATGAGGTGGCCCTAGGTCAGTTAGAAGCCATGGGCCTCAGCTCTGGCCGGATTTCTTGGGCGGGACTTCCTGCGCAGGATGAGGCTGGTGCAGGGGTCTGGAGCTACAGAATCATGGAGCACTTGACGTCCTGTAACATTTTCTTAACAATAATGGTATCCCATTATCCATAACACCACTTCTTCACCCACTACCAGGTCTCCTCTTAAAGACTAGTTCTAAGCAGGTGTCAAGATACACTTTCGATCCTCAGACCTTAAAGGCTTGGGGGCTCTTTCAGAAGTGTGGCTTCCCAATCTACTTTAGATGCATTTGCTCGAGGGTTTGGCTTAAACCCCTCATTAGCTTGCCGTTATCATCATCCATCTGGTCCCTGGCACCCAGCCTCTCTAGAGCGGCAGCACCCCATCTCCCTAGCCCATCTGTCTTCTGTGCCCTGCACGCCCAAGTTAGTCTACTCAGACTCCTTTTCTAAAGCAACGTATGGCTTTGGGTTTCTAGCCAAAAACAGCACAATAACAAAAAAGACCCCTTTAAGTTTCCACTAAGCCACACCCCTGATCACCCCCACACTGCAAGGAGCGGGTGAGAGTAACCAGTTTCTCGCGGTCAGCCCTCTCTCACAGTCCCCACCCTTCACAGCTCCCAACAACAGGAGATTTGAAATTCCCAAGAAGTGTTGAGTTGACTAAAAGCAAGGTCATTCCCAGGTTTAGAAAATACTTCATGATGATTGTCATTTCCCCCTCTGCAGGTAAATTAGCTCCAAATATTCTCTGCCTCTAGATTTAAATTATTTTTTTTAAATATATTTTAGTGATTTTTTACAGAGAGGAAGGGAGAGAGATAGAGAGCTAGAAACATCGATGAGAGAGAAACATCGATCAGCTGCCTCCTGCACACCTCCCACTGGGGATATGCCCGCAACCAAGGCACATGCCCCTGACCGGAATCGAACCCGGGACCCCTCAGTCCGCAGGCCGACGCTCTATCCACTGAGCCAAACCGGTTTCAGCGATTTAAATTATTTTTAATTGAAGCTGTCTCTCCCCAGAATCAAACTTCACACTGTCCTTAAAAGGGATTTTTAAATGCAAAACATAAAAATGATGCTTTGGCCCAGAGATTCCTTGTAGGGAGGGAGCTCTGGATTACTTCCCTGAGCTAAGGTTCTACCCAGCTAAAGGGATTCTGCCAGATCCTCCAGTTGTAGGTATCACCACCAGAGGGCGCCCCCTTCTGATTCTCCCCCAGGCTCAACGTGCAAGGCCAGTGCAGAATTCCGCAATGCTTAGGAGGAGGAAGGTTATCACGCCCACTTTTCATACCTGGGAAGTCACAGACAGAACTAGGATTGGCCTTACAGGAGACACACAATCAGGGGCAGAACCTGGATCTCCAGCTTCTCCCCAGAAAACATTAATTTGCTCAGTGGCTCTCAAGAAATGTCCTTGTAACTACGTTTTTATTGGTCCTTAAAAAGAGAATACAAACAATTCAATATATATTTAAGAGTGTTTTTACCTATAAACCTGTGTGTGTGTGTGTGTGTGTGTGTGTGTGTGTGTGTGGTATGTGTATGTGAGTGTGTGTTTGAGATGAGAGTCCTTTAACTGTTCTCCTTTATCTAGGGACTAGGACTGTCCATATTCTGAGAGTATAGCCTCCTAATTTCTTTTATTTAAAATAGCCTTCCATTAATGAGGTGGTAGGGATGAAAAGTGATCATTTGTTAATGTCCATCATCAGGAAAATATGAAGTGGCAACCCTATGTCCTTTTCCAGAATCGGAAGTACACACGCAGGCCCACGACATCCAAAAGCCTAGACATCTTTGCCTTTTATAGTTGCACTTTTCTGTGGCATTGGCATGTCAGCTCTCAGCCAGAGACATGGGAGCATTCCCTCCTGGTCTGCAATAACCCCTCCCCGCTGGGGGTGGGGGTGGACAGGGTCGGTGGGCGTGGGTCCTTTGGGCTTTTGCCTGACACTGACAGCGTGCTCCTGTGGGCAGGTACCCAGATCCTGCTGGAGGCCTGTGCCCAGGCCAGTGTGCCCATCTTCATTTACACCAGCACCATAGAGGTGGCCGGGCCCAACTCCTACCGGGAGGTCATCCAGAACGCCTCTGAAGACCAGCCTCTGGAAACCACGTGGTCGGCTGCATACCCGTACAGCAAGAAGCTTGCCGAGAAGGCTGTGCTGGCCGCGAATGGGTGGGCTCTTAAAAATGGTGGCACCTTGTACACGTGTGCCTTAAGGCCCATGTATATCTATGGGGAAGGAAGCCCCTTCCTTTATGGCTTTATTGATCACGCCCTGAAGAACAATGGCATCCTGCCACACAACAGCAAGCTCTCCATCGTCAACCCAGTGTATGTTGGCAACGTGGCCTGGGCCCACATTCTGGCTCTGAGGGCCCTGCGGGACCCTGAGAAAGCCGCAAACATCCGAGGACAGTTCTACTACATCGCAGATGACACGCCACACCAGAGCTACGACCACCTCAACTACACTCTGAGCAAAGAATGGGGCTTCTGTCTGGATTCCCGGATGAGCCTGCCTGTCTTGCCGAAGTACTGGCTGGGCTTCCTGCTGGAAATAGTGAGCTTCCTGCTCAGTCCCATTTACAGGTATCAGCCCCCCTTCAACCGCCACACGGTCACCTTGTTAAACAGCGTCTTCACCTTCTCCTACAAGAAAGCTCAGCAAGATCTGGGGTACCAGCCTCTCTTCAGCTGGGAGAAAGCCAAGCAGAAAACCATGGACTGGATTGGCTCCCTGGTGGAGCGGCACAAGGAAGCCACGAGAACCAAGACTCGCTGAGGCGGGTGACGCGGGGGTGCATGTGGGTATTGTCAGTGGGTGGCTGTCGGTGTCCCCTTCTGGTGCATCCCTGTTATGAGATGCCATCTCATTGCCTTCTTCCTACCAGCAGTCACTGGCCTAGCGAAGCTTTCCGCCCTACCCACCCTCCAGAGGACAAAGTGATTTCCTGCAACTGCTGGTCCCCACGTCCCAGTTGCTGATCCTGAAACTATTCGGGCCTCTTTTCATTTAGGTTTCTGCGTATTCGTTTCATTTCCTTTGCCAATTACAAAATCTTTTTAAAATTCCTATCCCTTTACACAACTCGGTGGAAAGAATAATAAATGTTTTCATGCCTAACCTGAAGGGAGTTGTGGTTTATGTGAATACATACCTTCCTCCTTTTGCCTCTATTTCCAGGTGTCACCATCTCCTGTAAGAAAAACTGCATGGAACTGGGTATGTGCCCTGCCTGGGAATCAAACCCCCAACTTTTTGGTGTACTAGAGGACACTCCAACCCGCTGAGCCACCCGGCCAGGGCAAAGCAGTTAACATTTTTAATTCATCATGGTCTTACCTCCCTAAGGGGTCTTTTAGTAAATCATCAACTTACAGTCTACTGGCAAGATCCGACCACAGAAACACTGACCGCTTTTCCATCAGTCCAGGCCCACTCCCAGCCACTCAATCAATTAGCTGTCAAGTGTCTAGCCTTCACTGGAGGTGGCAGAATTGAGCCTCTGAGCAAAGCTTGGATATATAGATTGCCAGCAGGTTACTTTTCCCTTATCTTGCTGGGAAATTTAAGACAAGGGTCCTTTATAATTAAAGTCTTACTATTGCCGGCTTACAGTCTCAAGAAAAGACACTGACAGGTGTAAAGCTATCACATGCAAATACCAAAAAAATGAAACAGACACAACATGATTGACAATTTAGTGTTCACAGGTATTATTTGAGTTGGTCACTGGGACAGGGACAAAGAACCATGCTTTCACTTCATGCATTCAGCACTAACGACAGAATAGATGGACTTTTACAATGTTTACAAGGGAAGGGGGATACCTCCTAGATTTAAGGTTCAGTAGCAAAGATGAGAAAAATAATCGAAGAAAACAGGTCAAATAATTGAAGCCTAATAGGTCACAACCCAAGCCTTACTACCCAAGGCCAAGTCCCTGTGGAAAGCCTGCTCACACCCATTGTGCTTGCCGCCTCATCTTAACCCGTTCAGAAATAATAAAGTTGACGTTTTATTTTTTTTTTCTCTCTACTTTTTTACAAGACAAGCTTTGGATATTAAGAATTAATGGCCTCTAGTTAATTTAAAAATTTCTAACACTTTATGCATTAATGAAAATTGCTCCATCTATGTTGCACATGAGTGGGACAGTATGGCAGGGTGAGCCTTAAAAGAATTCTTAAGGCTTTAGTAAAAAAGTGTAGTGTGCCGTTATAGGTACAATAATTATTAGTTGTTTTTCTTAAATAAACTGAATTGCCCTATCATTCCTATACTATACATTGTACTTACTATACACTGTATTAGTTTCATGGCCCATAGCACAAAATTTAGAGTCTAAAAATTACTATATATATATACAGCCCTGGCTAGTGTTGCTATATGGTTAGAGTGTCAGCCCCACACTGAAGGGTCTCGGGTTCAATTCCTGGTCAAGGGCATGTACCTGAGTTGCAGATTCGATCCCTGCCCGTGCAAGAGGCAGTCAATCGATGTGTCTCTCTCACATCAATGTTTCTCTCCCTCTCCCTTCCTCTCTAAAATCAATAAGGACATTTTTTAAATATTTGGAGGGTACAATATTTAAGTATGCTAGTCAAATGCACTATGCGTTTAAAGCCCAATTTGTATGAAGGAATTAAACAGCCATTTTACCCTTAATTTTCCCAAGTGCTGTTTTCTTATCAAGTTCTTAAACTCTAGCACAAATTTCAAGTTCAAATCTGTAAGCTCATAAAAGACCTATACCCCTAAATTGGAATATTCTCATTGAAATCCGACCCCTGGAAATTTGGACTATCATACTTTAGACTTACAGTCTTTCTCTTTTTTCACTTCTATCTAGCACTTGTTACTGCTTCCTATCAGGCCTGACTCTCAAATACTGGCATTAACCTAAAAGGCAGAACTAAGTCTTTCTGGCACAGTCTTTCTGTCTGTGATCAGTAGTTCATGAACGATAAAAAAAAAAAAAAAAAAAAAAAAAAGGCGATGTCAAAGAAGTTAAAAATAAAATAAAACCAACTGCGCAGCAGCCACGAGAACCCGCGAGGGCGGCACTCGCCCAGCGCTCCTCTCCGCCACCGGCGCCGAGCCGCACACTCCCCGCCACATCCCAGCTCCCGCCTCCCCCCTGCCAGCTCATCTTCAGCACCACGCCCCACGCCCCACCCGCGGACCCGACTGGCCCCCGAACCATGGCCCCCCGGCCTGCCGACTCTTCACTGACCTGTCGGAGGGGCCCTCCGGGGGTCGAGCACCACAGGATGTCCATCATCTGTCATCTCTTCCCCTCCCCTCCCGACGTGGACCTGCCTGCCTTAGCACCGGGGGCTGGCGCCCATCCCCGCGCCCCGCGCCCCCGCAGCGCCCTCTGCCGGCGCGGGCTGCGCTGCTGGTCGAGGCGGGCAGGTGCGCGGCGGCCGGAGCGCCAGGGTGGTTCACCCGCACAGCCCAGCCGCCCGCCGCAGCCAAAGGCACCAGCGCGGCTTCATCTGCCCGCGTGCCAGTGCGGGTTCAACTGCTGAGCCTCCGCTGGCTGGACCCCAAGCCCCTCGCGGACCCTCCAATTCTGTTGCCTTTTTTTTTTTTTTTCATTCACAAATGGAGAACTTTATTATAAGGAGCCACGGGATTGGAATACTGTCTGTTTCTAAACGGGTGGGATCTTTTCAGATTTTACTTAGCATAGTGACTGCACCATTCTTGAGGCAGCTCTCGCTAGGTGTGGCACTGAGGATGACACCGTGAACAGAATTTAATAATTGAAAAATTGGCATTTACTACCATCCAATGCTAAGTTGACATAGACATAGTAAGAAAATAATGTTTGGGTTTAAATTTCGCAAACTAAAAGCCCTTTATTAATACCAGTAATGTGATTATGGGCACATGAGGGAAATGAGTTCCTCCTGTCTGCAACACATTCCATTCCCTCGGCGCCCCTCCCTCTTCGTGCCTGCGGAAGTCTCCAGTTTTCCAGGGAGGGGTGCAGTGTCCCCCCGCTCGGCACCTGTCTCGGTGCAGGGCGGTTGCTTATTAACCTGTCTCCCAGACTACACTGTGGACGTTGGGAGGGCACCAGGGGGACCCTGTGCTGACCACCTGTGCCCAGCCACAGCCCCACATCTGGCTCAAAGTCAACACTCAATCAACACATGGAATGAAGGAAAGAAGGAAGGCGATGTTCTTAAAGACAGGGACTCGGGACAGGAAAAACAGGATTTTTAGGGAGTGGAGTGAAGGTTATCCAAGTTCGAGTTTCTCCTAAGAAAGACACAGTTGTGCTCCACACCCACCTGAGCTTGGCCTGAGAGCTCAGTGCTGAGAAAGGGGGAGGGGGCGGCACAGCCTCCCAGGGCCCAGGAAGGCACGGAGCCAGGAGGCCGCCCCACCAACACATTTGTCCAGTGGGGGAAAGGCAGAGGCAGGCTTAAGCAGCACTCCAGCGGCCTGAGCCTCCGTGGAGCCCGCATAGTTCCAGCCATCCAACCTCAGCTTGTGGAATGCGGGTCCTGCGTGAAGAGCGTGAAATAGGTTCTCTTTCCATTTTGCCGTCAAGGTGAGACAATTGCTTTACTTACCTGGGTCTGTTTCCTTATCTGCCCAATGAAGGTGTGGCCCATTTCCAAGTTCTGTTCCCGGGGACACTGGGCAGCTGTAAGTCGGTTGTGTATCCTTGGGCACCTCCATACTTCCGCAGCTAGCCTTGGTGATCACAGTCCTCCCCTTGAGTACTGGTTTGCTAGTGTGAAGCCAAAGCTGAGAATGTGGTTTCCTAACTCTTCCCAGTACTCCTGGCACCGGCACCTCATCTGTACCTTAGTAAAGGGGCATAATACCCCTCTAGTTGTAGAGGACCAAGGCCAGGGACCAACAGGACCCCCCAAATACCAGTTCTCTCCTGCCTCTGAGATTACAAGCCTATCCCGTCCTCATTCTTTCCTTAAGCTCTGGGTGCTTACCGAGTGGGTTTTAAGCTCTTTGACAACCACTAGGCATCAGAGTAGGCAGAGTCCATAGAGATAGTGCCTCCTGAAGAGGAAACAGAGACCCAGAAAAATCGGAGCCTTGCTCAAGACTACAGCCAGTGAACACCAAAGCCCTTCCCTGCACTCTCCCCAGCACAGCAGGCCCTCGAAGGGACAGGCGGGCTGGTTCCTTGATTCCTCCTCTGTCCCCAGGAAAGTGAAGGCTATGGCCTTGCACCTCCTCCTCTCCTTCCCCAGGAGCTGGAATCCCAGAGGACACAGTACCTGCATGTGAGCAACTGCCTCTCCCCTCCTGAGCTCCTAGGAGCTACCATACAACACATCACCCCGTGACCACCTTGTTTCCTAACATCTGCACTGTCCTAAACCTGCCAGGAACCTTCACATTTTATTCACCTTGACCTTCTCCCCAGACCTCACACCGGCATCTTCCCACTGGACAGGAAAGCCAAGATCAAGTCTACCGCTAGTGCCCGGTCTACAGCTACAACAACACTGGACAGTGCCTCCCTCGGTCCAGAGGCCTCTGGCTATGAAGTAATACCTGTGACTCCTACAATCTCCATTCAAATCAACCCAGAGAGCAGTAGAGCTGCTTCAGCCGAAGCCTGGCCATGGTTCTCATCTGCCAAAGGTCTGGTTTGACTCAGACACTTCCTAACAATAGGTCTAACAACAACAACAAAATGTCTAGCCAGCTCTTTAGCAGCCCCTGGCTTCCTTCACAAGCCTTTCCAAGTCACCCACCTTCCCCCACCCAGCAGAGCCAGGCGACATGGTCGCTGCCTGGATTGCAGCAGCAGTGACCCCAACTTACAGTTCACCCTGAGCCTTCCTGAAGGGACCATCTTGCCCAGGGAGAATGCTTGGAGCCTGATTAAGACATTTCTCCTCTTCTCCCCTTAGCCCACCAGGGCCAGATCCCCAAACACATTCTTACAGTTTGCAAACTAATTCACTACAAGGAAGCTGGTTTTGATGCTAGGCAGGGAACAAAGCCAGCCTTCCCCTTCACCTGCTGGAGTGTGAAACTCGTGAGCTTCCCCGCCTCAACCCTGTAGCCCCAGCATTGAGCGCTAGCCCAGCACATGCCCACTCAGCATGTTTTTGAATGAACTTCTTGAAGTCTCTGCTCTTAAAAGCCACAGCACTTAAGAGGGTAGGCCTCCTGTACACAGGAAACTTGTACGGGATCTTATGGGAACATCCCTGCAGAAGAATCACTCCAGCCCTCGGGTCAGGGGAGGGATCTCAGGGGAAGATCTCCTGTGAATGAATGGACTGCTTCCATGGAATCCCTGCTCTCCAGTAACCCGTGAGGCCCAGGACCGCCGACCCTTCATTCAGGATGAAACCCTCTACACGTGTGGGAATGCCGGCTTCATCCAGCACAAATACGGATACCTCTTGTCAAGCACAAGGCAACTTGGTACGTGGAACACCTTGCCACCCACCTATGGTTTCCAAACCTGAGCCTCCCCGCTGCTGTGATGAGGCAGGTCACCGGATGGACACAGAGAGGGCTGTGAACAGGGGCCTGGCTCTCACTGGGGCAGTAGATGATTGAAAGCCATTGCAATGTGCTTTGGGTTAGCAGAGGTGACCTTGAAAAAACAGGCGGGCAGCAGGGAACTGTGGTCTGCAGACACTTGGAGCTCTGCCCAGGGAGACAAGAGCCCTATGCTAGTCCCTTCAAACGGGAGACCTGCTGGGTGTGCTCCTCACCTTCCCCTCCAGGGGCAAGGCTTAGGAGACGCCATTGCCCAGGGCAGCTGAGAGCCGGAGTGAGGCATAGAGTTTTGGGTTGATAAGTGAGCCCAGATGGCAAATGAAGAAACAGACTCATAGAAACGGAGAGCTGGGGGTTCCCAGAGGGGTGTGGGGGCACTGGGTGAAAGAGGTGACGGGACTCAGAAGCACAAATGGGTATTTAGAAAATAGTCACAGGGATGTAAGGACCGCATAGGCTACCTAGTCAGTAATATTACGATAGCTACGTGTGGTCCTGGAAATACTAGTACTGAGGGGAATTCTAGGTAACGTATTAAGCTGTACACCTGAAACCAATACTGTACATTAAAAAAAAAGGCAGAGGGGGAGATGGCAGTCTGATTGACAGAGGAAGGAGGGCCAGCTGCAGCCCACAATGGCCATCTGGCTTTCTCTGGTGAACTTCAAAGAGCGGTATTGTCCCTTGCCCTTATTTATTGTCTGTAACTATTTGGAGAAGGTGTGTGTGGAAGGCAGGCCTACCAAAAGCAGATGGGCAGCCTCACCTGTGCCTCTGCCAATGCCCTCAGCAGAGAGGACTGGAGGCTTCATTTTACTGCAATGATGAAAGGAGGCACCTAGCTGGTCCAACATATGTCAATCCGGCTGCCCATTAAGATCAACTGGGAAGCATTTATAAAATTACAGATAATTGGACTTTACCCCAGACCAATTAACCAATCTCTGAACAGTTTGTTTTTGTTTATTTTTACAGCTTTCCAGGTAAATCTGTGTAGTTAGGGTTAAGAAAACCTCGGTATTAAACTAATGAAGCTCCAAAAATTCCAAGTTGACCAAAATACAGCTTCTTGAACTGGTCCGTGGACAGAGAGGCCTGCTCTCACAGCACGCAGGCCGAGCACCCCTTCAGGGTGTGGCCCAGACCAGGTGCACAGCTGCCTGCCCAGGGCACTGACTTGGTTTGCTTATCATTTTCCCAAGAGACACCTGTCGTTTTCCCAGGGACCAGGCTAGACGGTGGTTCTTCAACCTAGAAGAGCCAGGCTTGGGAAGGAACGCTGTGGTCACAGTACTGATCGCCTCCCTGCAGGACAGGGCCCAGCATTCGCTGGCTCTGCTCAGCAGGGCAAGGGCTGTGGGCACTCACACCAGGAGGCAGTCTGGCCATGACAAGAAAACAAGGTGTTCTTCATGCTTGCTCTTCTTTTCCTTGTGATTCCCTTCCTACAAACTGCTGTCTTGTTTCTACTACGAGGCTGGGCAGAGGCTAGCAAAAAAATACGTCAAGCGAAAGGCCGGTATTAGCTGATAAGCTGCATTCAGTATTATCAGTAGCCATTAAGTTACATTTCTGAGAACTGGGGGAAAGAAAATCCTTTGCTAGGTGATTCAGGAATCCATTTTTAAGAAATAGATTAGCGGTAAGACCTAAGACTGCCTCCCTTTCTCCGTAACGACCTTCCCCTGCCCACAGCCAAAATTTCCCACAGACTGGTTCTCACAAGGAATGAGACCTAGATCGTTGGAAACCGATCCAAATGGTGCAACATGAACACATTCCCATCATCTCAAAGCCGCGTCAGTGCAGAAGTGCTGCGATGGTTTACTGGTCAGAATGGGAGGCCTAGTTAGACATCAGCCAACCCCGGGATGATGTGATCAACCTGAACATTCTAACACGGGAGTCGGCAAATGTTTTCTGTAAAGAACCAGATAGTAAATACTGTAGGATTGTGGACCATGGAGACCCCTGTCCCAGCTACTCAACCTGCCCACTGTAGTCCAAAAGCAGCCCCAGACACTGTGTATGGGTCTGCGTTCCAATACAATTTTATCTGCAAAAAGACGCAGGCTGGGTTTGGTGGTTTGCTGACCCCTGTCCTACCAGAAACTCTATTTTACAAATCGACTTGCACTGGTGAACACAGCCTCCATAGAGTGGCCTGACACACAATGGTGACAAATAAAGAATAAAGAATGTCACAGTGAAAGACTGACATGGATTTAATGACACATATTCCATACCGGCTGCTTGAACGCCAGAATGCTGTCCAGGGAGCCATCATTAAATAAAACAACCGGGGAAAATAAGGCAGTTCTCACATACACAAGCACACACACAAAACCAGTTACTTTTAGGGTCATTAAATTATTCACTATTTGAACAATCAGCTGTAAAGTAACATCACAGTGAAGGGAGGGGCGCACAAACTTCAGAAGCTCAGTTCCGATGGTCTGTGAACACAGGTTCTTCATTTGCACTTTTCACATATGGACAGCCACACGGCTCAAGGGGTTCACCAGTCATCTCCTTCCAACTCGGAGCTCCCGATGGCAGCAAGCCATTTCACCTGTTTAATCTGCACCGGATTCTGCTCAGCAAAGCGCAGCCTGCACTGGACCATACTCCCAGGAAGCAAATGATACACTTGCCTCCAGCTTCCGTAATGAGCTGGTAGACGGAGTCTTCCGATGAACATTTGTAAGGGTGAACCACAGGTAACAGGGTTTGCTTGAGAAACATTATTATTTTAAAAGTAAATCCAAGAAACCAACCCCTGAACGCATTTCATTTCACTCAATGCAGATTATGTTCCCTGAAGAATTGTAAGAAAAATGGAATCACATTTGCGATGCACCGTCAGAGTGGGTGCTGATGGTCTGCTCGCGGAGGGGACCCGGGAGCAGTAGCTGTCTCTTCTTAGCCACGGGAACAGAAAGAACAAGGGAGGTCAATGAACCCCAAAGATTCCCACTGCCTCTAAATTACATTAACTTCCACCTCCTCTTCCCCTTGCAGCCTTTCTCAAAAGCTGCCAACAGGTAACGTAATTGACGCGGACCCGACTGTGCAAATGGCAGCAAAAGGCCAAGTAACCCATGAAGTGGAGAGTCAACCCATGAAGAAGCAAACGTTCGATGCGATTTCATAGGCACAGACTTGAGAGAACCTAAAACAGCCGGGAGAGGTAGATGTGCATGGAAAAAGGAACAAGATTACCTACAAATGGGCCATATTATTTTCAGGTGAGTCTCATACACTTCATAGACTATACAATTCAGAATAAATAATGACACTTGCTTTAAGAAAATTTTAAAAGAACAATCCGTGTCTTCCAAAACTATATTTTGAAAATCTAGTTGCATTTGTGAATAACAATCCCCTGATTAAGAGGGCAAGATCGACAAGCATCACACAAGCCCAGAGTTCTCAGGATTCTTTTAAAAAGGTGTTTTTATAATGACACGAACATGCTTCCCTACAGCCCCCCCAAGGAGGGTCTTTGCTAGAACACAACAAATCAAGTATCAATGACCGGCATCCCCAGAAAATGTGCTGAATTGTAAAAACAACCTTGTGGTTGTCTTCCCTTCACGTGTATCCAACAGTCTGTGAAGATGTTTCCGTGAAAAGTACGGGTACCCATCACCAGTGAGAAAACAAGGCTGCTTCCCACCACTCTGACTTCTAGAGGCTAACCCAGGGGAGGGGCTCAGCCCAGGGAACTGAAATCTACACCAGAGTCATCTAACCACAGCCCCCCAGGACACGTAGCATGCCGAGGCCACCCTACGGATGCGACAAAGACCAGCTTTGTCGGTGAGGACATCTGTGGCCCTTCCAGACTAGCCTTCAGTGTCCCGTCACGCATACGCATGTTCAGTGTCCTTGTTTCGTTATATAAATCACAACGGTAAGTCTTCCTAGCAGCTGAGAGCACAAAAGGTCAGACCACAGCTGTCCACACTGTCACAGCCTCTCCTCAGAGCAGCCTTCGGCACTCTTGTGCCCAGGCCCTCCCCAAGACATGGGGCCATAACACTGATCCACCTCACAGAGATCTGAGGAGCAACTGACAATCATTAAAAAGCATAAAGCACTTTACAAATATAAAAGTGCTAGTTTGGCATTTGTAGAACCACCAGGAAACATTCACTGCTTGTGCTACTTGGCAGTTTTGCATTTACACCTCTCCCTGCTTGTGCCCTCCTTGTATAAAGCCTGGGGCTTTCTACTGTGCCTTCGTGTAAAAAAAAAAAAAAGTTTCTACTCAGACCAGAGCCCAGGTCAACAGGAGTGAAGGTGGGGGTTCCATGAGCTCCCCCATCACTACAGGGGAGGGGGTACAAAGCAAATGCAAATGAGACAAAGGAGCCTTGCACCCCAACATGTGAATTTTGCAAAGCTCTTGAGCGGGCTGACTTTTGTAAGCTGGTCACGGGGCCACTGTGATGGTCTGAGGTTCACTTGAAATAAGCACCCAGCTGACCCGGGAAAGGGAAAGGCGCCCAGAGCTGGGACGGTTCCATGTCCCTGCAGGCAGAAGGTCACGAGTGAGACCTGAAAGAAACACGGAGCCAGGCGCACACCTGGCCCTGGGGGCAGGGCCTGCTCACCACAGACCACCTTGGCCCAGCAGGAAACCCGGACGTTTCAAAGGAAACAGCAAAGAACCAGATTCCCTAGATCTGAAAACCAGTTATGAGTGCATGTCTGAGTTTCACCTTTGAAGTGAGGGTGTGCAGCTTTTCTGCCCAGCTTCCCCTGGATGCCCCGAAACAGCGGCTAACTGTGGCTCAGAGACAGGAGAGCGTCCGGTATATCCTCCCGCAGGATGGCAGGGTTCCTCTGCTTTTCCTGGGACTCGAGCTGAGGTGGGGGGCGGGGGGCAGGGCAAACCGTGGCTTCACACCTGGTACAACCAGGATAGAATTATTCACACCCACCTTTTCTTGTACCCCATGACTCTCACTCCAACCACACGCTCTCCTGATTCCCACAGAACATCGCAGCCCAACCTACTCTTGGCCTGCCACCCTGTTCCTCCCCCACCCGAACCCCACTTCCTCAGGGTCCTCAAAGTGCCCGCTTAGCTCCTAGACTAGTGTTGGAGGGAGTCAGCAGGCCCAATCACATCTCCAAAACATTCCTTCGTTGTCCCCAAAACGTCGTAGCACCGAAAAAACACCTCTTAACGCTCCCTAACACCAAAAGCGCCCCCGTCACTCTCAGATTGTCCCTCCCGCCCTTCCCATGCCTTTCTGCAGGGCCTGCCCCCGGGATACTTACACCCCGCCAGGCCAGCTCCCGCGAGCGCGGCCCCCTGCGCCCGGCCCTAGCACAGGTGCAGCTTCTGGTGCTGCGCCAGGTGCGTCTTGTAGCGGAAGCCCTTGCCGCAGCCCGCGCACTTGTGCGGCTTGTTGCCCGTGTGGATGCGGCGGTGGCGGATGAGGTGCGAGCTCTGGATGAAGCTCTTGCCGCACTCGATGCACGTGTAGGGCTTCTCGCCCGTGTGCGTGCGCTGGTGCTGCGTGAGCGTGGAGAAGTCGCTGAAGCGCTTCTCGCACTGGCCGCAGCGGAAGGGCTTCTCGCCCGTGTGCACGCGCAGGTGGTTGACCAGGTGCGAGTTGCGGCCGAAGCCCTTGCCGCACTCGCGGCACACGTAGGGCCGCTCGCCCGAGTGCGTGCGCTTGTGCGTGAAGAGGTGCGAGCTGACGCTGAAGGTCTCGCCGCACTCGGAGCACATGTAGGGCTTCTCGCCCGTGTGCACGCGCTGGTGCTTCACCAGGTCCGAGCGCCAGCTGAAGCGCTTGCCGCACTCGCCGCAGCCGTGCGGCTTCTCGCCCGTGTGGATGCGCTGGTGGTTGGCCAGGTGCGAGCGGCGCACGAAGCCCTTGCCGCACTCGCCGCACGAGAAGGGCCGCAGCGCCGCCGGCCCCGCGCCGCTGGCCGCCGCGTGCGCGCGCCGGTGGCTCAGCAGGTGCGAGCTGAGGCTGAAGGCCTCCCCGCACTCGGGGCACGGGTAGGGCTTCTCGCCCGTGTGCAGCCGCCGGTGCTTGAGCAGGTCGGCGCGCCAGCTGAAGCTCTTGCCGCAGTCCGCGCACAGGTTGGGCCGCTCGCCCGTGTGCAGGCGCAGGTGGTTGGTCAGGTAGGTGTTGCGGCTGAAGCCCTTGCCGCACTCCCCGCAGCGGAAGGGCTTCTCGCGCGGCGGCCGGGCCAAGGCGGGCCCCGGCCCGAAGCCCCCCGCCACGCCCACCACCGCGCCGCACTCCCCCGCCAGGCCGAAGGGCTCCAGGCGGGCCGCGGCCGCCGCCTCCGCCAGGCGGTGGATGCGCTGGTGCTGCAGGAAGGCGGCGCCCGGGCTGAAGCTCTCCCCGCAGTCGGGGCAGATGGTGGGCGCGTCCATGATGCTGGCCATCAGGCTGTCCAGCTCCCCGAGGTCCACGGCCATGGGGTGGTGGAGCCGGCGGAAGCGGCGGGGGGCCGGCTTGTCGCCCGCGTGCCGACTCCCCAGGGAGAGGTGCCGCCGCCAGGGAAGCACCGGTGGGGGCGGCGGCTCCTCCTCTTCCCGGGGGCTCCGGGATGTGCCGCGGGACTCGGACAGTCCCGGGAACACGGCCACCGCAGCGACTCCAGACTGGCCATCCTCTTCCTCCCGCAGAACTTCTTCCTCACTCAGCAGCCCCTCTGCAAACAGAAAAGGGGACAGTGGAGGCGGGCGATTATTACCTGGAGCTCAAAGAGTAAACCCAGAGGAAGCCAAGGTCAAGGAAAGTGTAGGCCAAGGAGTAATTAATTCCCTCCCCGGGGGTATTCACAAACTCACTCTCCAAGATCCCCAAGCTCCTACCTGGTGCCTCCTGGGGAGGGAAGGCCTAGAGGCGAGAGTGCTCCGAAAGAAACCCAGGGAAAGCTCACTCCCGTGCCCCCAGCTCACCAGCTCTTGGCAGCTGTCTCTGAGCCCAGGCCCCACCCACTGTCCCTGAGGCTCCATCCGAAGGCCACATGGACAGTCGGCTTGAGGTGGTCAAGTCTGGGCCAGGTGGGACGCTGTGGGAGCTCAGAAGGGATCTGCTCACTGTAAGAGAAAGCCATGCGTTCCAAGGCCCTAACCGCACAAGGCAACGCCACTCCTGCCAACCACAAGAAAAAGCCACCTGCACTGATTTTTTTTAAAATGTTTTTATTGATTTCAGAGAGGATGGGAGAGGGAGAGATAGGAACATCTATGAAGAAGAAATCATTCATCGCCTGCCTCCTGCACGCCCCCTACTGGCGATCTGGCTGGCAATCCAGGCATGTGCCCTGACTGGCAATTGAAAGGTGACCTCCTGGTTCCTGGGTCCACACTCAAACACTGAGCCCCTCAGTGGGGCTGGACTGACTTTTAAAATGGGGATTGTTCATTCTGGAACAGCTCATGGTGGAACAGTGTACCAAACACACCCCAACACCAGGGCTTTACTATGTAAGGGGAGAGGAAGGTGTAAGGGGAAAGGGGAGGTGAGCACCGGGCCCTGAGCTGCTGAGCCCAGCCTAGAGGCCGACCCAGCGCACACACCTGTCTGTCTCTGGCTGCTGATGCCCAAGCAGAGGGCCCTCCAGACAGTCCCTGGGTATGAAAGAGCATGTGCGTGTGTGCACTGCTGGGCCTGGGATGCGTTACATGGGAAAGCCTGTCATCTCACAGCCCTGGCCATGGGTGTCACAGCTCATTTCTGTCCCGGAGGCATGCACAGAGCAGGATAAAGTAAGGGAGGCCCGAGGGCAGAACTGAATACGGGTGGAGTCTGTTTCCAGCTCAGGAAAAGCAAGGCGATGAGCAGAGGCCTTGGCACTCAGAATCAGCCACATGCACCTGGGCACGTCCCTTACCGCTGAGCCGAGTTATCTACAACCAACACGATGACAATAGCCGTAAACATCTGAATACGCTGTGCAGCGCTGCGCTTAGTGAGCCTTTGTGTGTGGCAGCTCATCTAACTCTCCCAACAACCCGGTGACGGAGGTTCTCATACTCCCTGTGTTCCCTCTTGTGTTGTTGCAGGTGTTGACCTCGATCCGTGCTCTGTATACTGTGAAGTGCGGTGCCAGCGACTCCCTCCTCACCCGTCTACCAGCACAGCCACCTCCCACTGGACTGGAGAAAGGGATGTTCTTCTTCACAAGAATGCTGCCCCTGGCGACAACTTGGGAGGAGCCAGAAATACATGTGAGCCCCAACTTCCATGGAAATTCCCGCTTTCTCCTCACCTGTGCAGATGTCAGACACCAGTTCCCGCTCCTCCCGTGGGTCCGAGCCCATCTCCTGCTCCGGGTGGCCGCCTCTCTTGTCTGCGTCCTGTGCGTTGGAACCCATTTCTCTCTCGTCTGGGTCCCCTTCCCTGTCCTCGGAGTTCTCAAAATCAGAGCCCATTCCTGTATCTTCTGAGTCCGGGCCTTCACACACACCGTGTTTGTCTTCTTGTTCCATCCGGGAGGAGCCGGACAAGGGAGGTGACCGGGAATCCCTGCTCCAGACAAAACACACAGATAAAGGTCATGTCAGCCTGGCCCTGTTCCCTCAGCCTGTCCAGTGACACAGTCCAACAAAACGTACAGAGTTCCAAGCCTCGATGGCAAATCTCCGCTCCACCTCACGTTTGAAGGTAAACAGACCCGGGCGCAAAGGAGGCTGGTCTGGGTGCCAGGGTTACAGTGGCAACTCCTCCGCAGGCCATAGGCCAACTCTCGCTGGACCACAACTTGATCTGTTTCCGTCTGTGAAGTGGATGGGCCTGCTAGCATAGCCTTGTCGCTCTCACCGTGGGTAAGGGTGACAATGGTGCCCCCATCTTATAGCTGAGAAAACGATGCTCAAAAAGACCCACCAGCCTAAGGCTAACATGTAAGCCGTAAAGTGGGGTTCAAATCCCTTTGCTGCCTCAAGTTCCATGCATTCCTTACTCTTATTAAAGCTTGCCCTCCTCTAAATATATACAATTTGTACTTATCAACTGTACCTCAATATGGCTGGGGGGGGGGGGGGCGGGGAGGATGGAGACTTGCCCTCTGCCAGCCCACAGCAATCTTGTGAGGGTTTTAGCTGATGATGAGTGGGCCTCCAAGGAGCCAGAGGAAAAGGACATTCGAGACATAAGAATAGCCCTAGCCAGTTTGGCTCAGTGGATAGAGCTTTGGCCTACAGACTGAAGGGTCCCAGGTTCCATTCTGGTCAAGGGCACCTACCTCGGTTGCAGACTGGATCCCCAGCCCTGGTCGGGGCCCGTGTGGGAGGCAACCAATTGATGTGTCTCTCTCACATCGATGTTTCCCTCTCTCTGTCCCTCCTCCTCCCTTCCACTCTCTCTAAAAATCAACGGGGCTTTTTGCCGCCTCTCCATCAGAGAGGATGGCGCCCACCTGGCCCCAGCTTAAAATCTATTTTCGAGTCTTGGTCTTTCTTTAATTTCTTAATCCCCAGCTCCTCCACTCAGCAAATGGACTGTTTCCTTTTCCATGCGGGACATGGAAAAGAGAGAAACAGCCCCCCACATTTGGCGCCCCCCAACAGGGACTGAGTACGGAGGCAAAAGAAGAAAGCGAGGGGGTCACTCCCAGAAGCGTGTGCACACAGATTTAAAGGAATAAGAAGAACAGCTTCCAGGCCATGTGGATTCCTGCAACAACAGATCCCAACTGACCAGATTGCTCCAGCCACAAAGACAGGAGAGACAGTTCAGAGATGGAGATGGTGAAGACGCCTTGTCATGATAGCAGTCAGCACCTGTGCATTGCTGCAGGTTGCCCAGGACCAAGAGCAAGGAAGAAGGAGCAATGCAGCCAATTCGGGTGCCAGAGCGTTACATCCGTCACCACAATGGACTCAGACATTCACTCAAAAGGACTAAGTACTGCCCTAATGACAGCAAAAGGGAAGAAAAAGAAAACTGAAAGATGCAAGGGACTGTTGTGCCAATATGAAGTCATCTGAAGAAGTTAACGACTGAAGTGCAACAGATTGTGGAAAAGCAAGAAGTTGAAGCTACTTCTTCAACATTGTTCCTGCTCATGCTAGCATCTGTTAGCTGCCAGTCTTCTGCAAAGTCTTGCGCAGCCAAGTCCAAGGACTCTGAGTAAATATACACCAGCAGCAAAAGAGACTTTTTTTCATTTAGTAGCAAGAATGTTAATATGTCCATAGTTCTGATTTCTCATATTGTTGTTTTGCATTGGCATTGTTTTGTTATTATTTAATAGCCAGTTTTGTTCTTAACGTTCAAATTTTGAAAATGATAACATGTATGTAGTTTAGTATTTGCATTGTTTGCAATTGTTTTAATTCTAGAGCCCTACTATTAATGTTTAAAATTTTACTTTTATTATAGTAGCTTAAAAAACAAAAATGGGGGAGATGTAGAGGGCCGCCAGGGAAGCACCTAGGCATTTTCTTATAATTATTGTCAGCTGAACTCAGAGCTTAGGCAGAGCCACGCCCTGGGAACATGCTTCCCCAATAAGGCTGGACATGTTAATCAGGCAGGAGCGGAACTAGATAGGTAAATCTAGGGCTTTAAAATAAACCTGCTGTGTGGCTCAGCCGCTTTTTGCCGCCTCTCCATCAGAGAGGATGGCGCCCACCTGGCCCCAGCTTAAAATCTAAAAAAAAAAAAAAAAAAAAAAAATCAACGGGAAAATATCCTCTAGTGAGGATTGACAAAAAAAGAAGAAGAAGAAGAAGAAGAACAACAACAACAACAACAACAGAAGCATTGGTATACTCACTTCTGACCTAAGACCATGTCTGCAGCAGCAGCACCAACCTGATTTTGTGGGTCTGTGTGTGTGGGGGGGGGGGGGGGGGGAGGGGTAGGGGGAGAGATGCAGGGACCCTCCATGTTAGAAGCCCTCCCTGTAGCCTTATTACATAGTTTGCCTTATTGTATGTGTACTTTATTGCAGAGAGCCCCTAGCAGAGCATGCCCCCGGCGTAACTGGCAGCCCCTCCACAGAACAGGCCAACAAGGGAACTGGAGAGAGAAAATGACCTCAGCTTCCCAAACCTTTGGAGCCCTCAGGTTTGCATTTCAAATTTAAAGGGCCCCCTGCCAAGGCTGAGCCGTGGAGCCAAAAATAATTTGCTTCTGCCATCCATCACGCCTCCAGCTTAGCTCATGGCAGCAAAGCAGTTTGTAGGTCAAGGATCCTGGACCTAGACTTTTTTAAAAAGATATTTTTATTGATTTCAGAGAGGAAGGGAGAGATAGAAACATCAATGAGAGAGAATCATTGATCGGCTGCCTCCTGCATGGCCCCTCTGGGGATCGAGCCCACAACCCAGGCATGTGCCCTTGACCGGAATCAGACCCGGGACCCTTCAGTCCACAGGCCGATGCTCTATCCCAGCGGTTCTCAACCTGTGGGTCGCGACCCCTTTGGGGGTCGAACGACTCTTTCACAGGGGTTGCCTAAGACCATCGGAAAACACATATATAATATCAGATATTTACATGACGATTCATAACAGTAGCAAAATTACAGTTATGAAGCGGCAATGAAAATAATTTTATGGTTGGGGGTCACCACAGCATGAGGAACTGTATTAAAGGGTCGCAGCATTAGGAAGGTTGAGAACCACTGTTCTATCCACTGAGCCAAACCAGCTAGGGCCTGGACCTAGACTTTTAAACTGTCCAGCTCTCTCTGCCTCGGCAGCCCCCAAAACAGAACTCCCCAGAACATGGCTAAGCAGGTGCCCCATCTTTTCTTCCCTCCACTGAGCACTTCCCCGAGGCAGCCCTGGGACTACCGAGACTCAAAGTGGGAAGCAGGAGCCATTCTGGCTGGTCCAGCCTCGCTCCAGAGCCCAAGGCAAGTCAAGGAACCTCTCATGGTTCCAGTGTCTTCCTCAGCGCCAGGGGATAATGCTCCTTAACCTTTCTCACAGGCAGGGTGTCAGAGGGAAACATTACAAAGCACCTTGGAAAATACTGTGGAGAGGAGCTGATGCTCTGAGTTTTACAACTGCGGAATAAACATGTGATGTCTCTCTTGCAATACACACATTCTGGCTCTTTTTTAAGTCCTGATGCCATTCCATCACACCTCAAGGACACACCGGCCGACTTATCGCCCTGAAGAGGGTGTTACTAGTATATCCCTTCTCACAGATGCCCTATTCCCTACATTAGAGTGAAAAAGCAAGGCCTTCTCTTAAATGTCACAGGCAAATGGCCTGCCATGATGGCCGTCAACAGCGCCCTGGAAGGCAGCCAGCTCCTCCGGCTCCTCAGAGGCCCACTCGCTCCGTTTAAAACGCCAGGGTTCAAACACCCAGGATTAGGCTGCCGAAAATCCCATTAAAGTCATAAACCTTTTAAGAGGTCTGTCCCACCAAGGGCTCTTACCGCTGAACCTCTGCTACCCATCACGCTCATGCCCCCTGGAGCAATACGCAGCCACATCCGTTGAGTATGCATACACAACACACCCCATGGTGAGGGGTGGATTTCAAACATGTTTTAAGACCTGCTGGCTTGTTAGTGGCTAAGAGCAGCGGGGGGAAATTTTAGGGAGACCTAGTCAATGGTTTCTGCCCATCTAAGACCGGCAAGCCGAGTTTTACATCAGTAAAGGAATCAAATAAGCGTGTCCCCTGCGCTCATGCAACTGAAATGGCAGGATGTGGTGCCCAGAATGGCAGTGACCGCAGCTCTGTGGGGCCCAGGGGTCCACCCTGGGAACCAGGGAAGCTTACGGTTCACTTCGAAGCCTGTTGGAGGACAGAGCACCGTCTTAGGAAGCACCTCGGATACAGCAAAATCAGAACAAGAGTTTTTGGGGGTTTTTTAATCCTCACCCAAGGACATGTGTTTTCTTAATTGATTTGAGAGAGAAAAAATCACATCCATGTGAGAGAAAAATGCCAATTGGTGGCCTCCTGTACACACCCCAACCAGGGGTCGAACCCGCAACCTAGGTTTGTGCCCTGACTGGGAATCGAACCCGCAACCTTTTTCTGTATGGGACAACGCTCCAGCCAACTGAGCCACCCAGCCAGGGCAGAACAAGAGGAGTTTCTGGTTTATGATTCCTTGGGAACCAAGAGAGAATTCACACCAGAGACACTAAATAAAGAAGCATGGTTTTCCTGAATTTAAAGAGGGAGTGGGGGGAGAGGAAGAGTGTAACCCCCGACTTAAGGCTGGCATGTTCAGATTCTGCCTCACTCAGAATCCAGGAGACCTGAGCTCCCAAAGGGGGGATGTCATGGCTTCCTTCACACCCGGGGAGGCAAGACTGGGTGCGCTTTGAAAGAGGGGGAAGTCCCTGTCACCAGAGACACCATTCACTGTACAACATCGACTCCAATTTATTTTAAAATGCATTGCATTAGTGCAAAACTGGAAACCTGTGTGCCCACACGCAGACTCGGTTCCACTCACGCCGTTACGCCATCGGGTTCTAGGCAGCTATCAAGCAACAAAAAGGCTACTTGGAGGTAAGGAAAGGCAGCCTCCATATATTATTAGATGAAAACTGGTTGGTTTAAAAATAGTCCCGTTGTGTTTATTAGGACATGCACAGTAGCCTAGGTATTCACGTGTTTACACAGGTTTAGGGAGGGTTCTTAAAATGCTACACACCTCTTGGTCACCCCAAGGAGCTTCGTATCATTTCCTCTTAACGACACCCCCAAAGAAGCAGGGCATTAGTCTCCATTTCAGAGGTGAGGAACGCGGCGCAGAAGTTAAGGGCTACCTCAAGGTCACGCAATCTTCAGTGGCAGAGGGGTGCACAGCCCTGCCTGCGGTCCA